TGGAGGAATGGGTACAGATGATGCAGCAGCCAGAGGTGTTCCTGCCACAGTGGTATAAGCAGACTTGTGGTGGGGACCACGGGGGGCTGTGTGCCTGGGGCCAGCGCACAACACAGCACGTGCGGCCCCAGGCCTGTCCTTGCTCAGCTACAAACTAACCCTGTGACTTGCGTCTTTCTCAGACTTTTCCCAAAGCTCTGTCTCCCCACCCATAAATGGGAATGCCTGCATGTATGCTCAGTCACTAAGTTGTGTCCGACTCTTTGCAACCCCAAGGACTGTAGCCTGCCAGACTCCAGAATCCCCTGTCCATGGGATTCTCCAGGCAAGAGTACTGGAGTGGATTGCCATTTCCTCCTGCAGGGGATCTTTCTGAGCCAGGTATCGAACCTGTGTCTCCTGTGGCTCCTGCATTGGTAGGAGGATTCTTTACCACTGTGCCACCAGGAAAGCCCATAAATGGGAGGAAATGATTTTAAAAGTTCCTTCTCACCTTCGGAAGCAGGGTGTCAGACAATGGCACAGGCTGTGTAGGGAGCCAGGAGACCCAGGGTTCGAATCTCAGTTTTACATTTCTGGGACCCTGGGTGCTATTGGTTGAACTGCATCCTCCATGCAAAGATATGTTGGTCTCCTAATCCCCAGTACCTAAAAATACGGCCTTATTTGGAGATAGGGTCTCTAGTACAGAGGTTATCGAGTTAAAATGAGGTCATCAGGGTGGGCCTAATCTAGGGAAGTTTGGACACAGAGCCTGGCATGAGTAGGAGGAAGATGATGGGGAGAGACACAGGGAGAAGACGCCATCCATTCACCAACAAGAGGCCTCGGAAAGCCCCAATCCTGCCAGCATGTTGATCTCAGGTTTCCAGCCTTCAGAACACGGAGGCAAAATATTTCTGTTGTTTGAGCCACGCAGTTTGTGGTGCTCTCTTGCGGCAGCCCTGGCAGACCAATACAAGTGACGGGATCTCCGAGTTTCCTGGTTAGTGGTAACAAGGGGACAGTGACACCTGCCCTGCAGTGCTGTTAGAGGAATCCAATGAGAGAATGCAGATGAAGTTCTTGGCCTGATCCACGGAGTATAGATAGCACTCAGTGGCTTCGCCTGTGTTCTGACGCCCCTGCCTCCCACCATTCTGTGAGTGGGGCCCACAGGAGCCAGCCGCTTTAGAGGCCCTTTAGGTGACCTAAGGCACCCCTCCAAAAGCCTCTCTACATATGGAGAGGGCCAGAGAAGTCACTATTAATGCAACACTTAATGGTTTTTAGCTAGAGAGTGGCCTCAGCCCTAATCGACAAGGCCGCGAAGCTGAGGTTTCTTTATTTTTATGTCCTAGGTACACTTTGAGTGTGTCGAGCTGCTCTGTAAATCAATAAGTGCAGTGGTCATGGCCACTTGATGGCATTTTATAAAGGCAGTGGCATGGCTTTCATAGGAAGGATACTCATTGGATGACCCTGAGCTAATCCATTATCCTCCTTGGACCTCAGTTTCCATATGTGCCAAGTGAAGGCGAGTCAGAAGTTCTTAGCTGTGTCTACGAAGGCCTAGAGGTTAAGTCTGAATTCCTTGCACACACATTCATTGTGCACACATACCATATCTGGTTCTGGAAGGGGTCTCCTGACTTGTCCACAATGACCTGCATGCTCAACCTCTTGGGGCAGCTGGTTCCTTGCTGGTCTGGAATTCTGGAACTCTGATTTAAAAGTTGTTTATAAGATTCAAGAGGTGGCTGTTTATAAGATTACAGAGGTGGCTGCTCTGAGTTACTAGGATGGGCTGATTCTGGAATATATAAAGAAAGAGCTCCCCAGAGAGCTTATAGGCGGGGGCTTTGCTGGCCAGTGAGGTGCCAGTTGCCCAGCATCTTTGTGTCTCTGCTTTTGGCCTTTCGTCCTGCTCCGCAGGCCCTCTACTGGATACTAGTCAGCCTAGCCCATCTGCTTGCTTCTACACTGGCCCCACCCCCACCATATGCATGCTTGTGTGCTAAGTTGCCTCAGTTGTATCTGACTCTTTGCAGCCCTATGGACTGTAGCCCACCAGGCTCCTCTATCCATGGGGATTCTCCAGGCAAGAATACTGGAGTGGGTTACCATGTCCTCCTCCAAGATGTCTTCCCAACCCTGGGATCGAATCCCCACATCTGTCATGTCACCTGCATTGGCAGGCGGGTTCTTTACCAGTAGTGCCACCACCCTCATCGCACATGGCATAAGGCCCAAATCCATCCAATCCCTACCTGAGCGGGCCTCCACGGCCTCTCTGAAGGCATCCTCTCCCTCCCGCTACTCCAGGGCTGAGCTGCAGCCTCACTGGCCTGTGGTCAGTGCCCACCGCTCTAGGCTTGGTCCCCACCTGGATCTCCGCCTGAAACCTTCTCCACATCTTCAACTGCCTGGCTGCTCCTTCACGTCTCAAACCAGACGTTGGCTTCTCCAGGAAGTCTTTGGTCAACCCCATCTGAGTAGATCCCCCTCCACCTCTTGTCCTCCATCAGTGCAGCTGGTTTGTTTCCGTTGTGGCACTAACACAACCTGTAATGAAATATGTTTGTGTTTTCTTTTCCCACTGAGATGGCAAATCATGAAGGAAAGCACTGAGTCTTATACATCACAGGGCCCACCTTATAGTAGCATTTAATATAATGTTTGCAGGCCTCTGCTACCATGCTTGGCTCATTTAAATACTGACAAAACCAAGTGCTAGTGAGGGCATGGAACGATGGGGACTTCCATACCGCCTATGGGAGTGTGCAATGCCACAACCACATTGGAGAGCAATTTCTCAGGCAGGTTTTATCAAGGCACACCGATGCTCTGGAGAGGGGAATAGCAGCCCACTCCAGTGCTCTTGCCTGGAGAATTTCATGGATGAGGAGCCTGGCGGGCTGTAGTCCATAGGGTTGCAAAGAGTCATACACAACTGAGCATGCATGCACAGACACTTACCATATGAGCGAGCAATTCCACTCCTAGATACTCACCCAAGAGAGAGACAATTGTATGATGTATGAGTCTTTATCATGCAAAGACTTGTACACAAGTACTGTAGGCTTGTTCATCACAGCCCAAAACTGAAAACAAACCAAACATCCGTTTAGAACAGGCAAGAACGCTGTACCCCCATGAGCCAACTCAGTAGGGGAGGAGGCAGCCCCAGGAGACGGCTGAGAATCCTCACCAAGTGACACAGGGCTTAATTCCCATGAGTGTTGAACACATGTGGCTTGGAGGAAGACCGGGCAGATAGAGGGCAGGCATGGGTGGGAGTGTCCCTGGAGTTGCACTCTCTAGACACTTGCTACCTGGCCTGAAAGCAGGGACTGGCCGCTTGCGAGAACCGGCCTTGCTGCTGCCTGGGTGTACAGGATTCTTACAAAATGCCAATTAAGACATTTGACCCAAATTCGGATAAAAGCCTTTTTCCTGTGTCAAGTTGAGCTAATAATATACATTTATTCATAATTTATGAGGCCTAGTAAGTGGTAACAATTAAGGAAAAGGCCTGGATAAAACCTATTTCTCTTCAGTGTCACGCAGGCCTCTTTCTGTTCTCGAAGGAGGTTCCACCCATCTCTGCCTGCCATGAAACTCTGCTGTTTTATATTATGTTTAAATTTGTCACCATTCCTGCTTGCTGCCATTTATTGAGCACTTACCAAGCCAAGTTATATAAATGCCTCATTTAATATTAACTGTATGAGACAGGCGTTATTGTCCCATTTTACAGATGAGATAGTTGAGCCTCAAAGAGGTTAAGGGTCTTGCCCAAGGCATTACAGCTGGTGCATGGGGATTGTGATTCATAGATGCTGGGACCCCAGTGTCTATGGTATCCTGTTTCTGTGTCAGCCTCCCCCAACTCAGGCTGTTTCTGAATCTGCAAGGCACCCTTCTATTGATAACTTTTTTTTTTTTAAATTTCATGGTTGCTCCCAGTGGCATGCAGGATCTTAATTCCTTGCATTGGAAGCTTGGAGTCTAACCACTGGATCCTTGGGGAAGTCCCTTGGTAACTGTTAAACCTGGGAGACCAGGGTGAGAAAGTGATCACTTTCTGAGTCTGTCGTCTGGGTTAGGCTGAGAATCTGCATTGTTTCCATCAGGTTCCCAGGTGGTTCTGCCCCTGCTGATCCTGGGACCACACTCTGAGAAGCACCGGTTTAGTCGGTGCTGTTACCAGGTCCTTCTTGACTCTCTTCTACCCGACCCACCACTTATGGCCTTCTAGACCTCCTATGTATTGGCGCTGTGTTCTCATATATATTATCATGAACAGTGTGTGGCTTGAGTCTGTCTCATTCTTTTTACACATGTGGGATAGTATTTTACCTGCCGATGTTCTGCAGTTTAGATTTAACATGATATGGAGAACATACATAATGCCCTCATTCTTTTCAACAGCACTGTAATATCCCATGATATAGATGGTTATAGTTTTACTTACCTGTTGTCTGCTGATGGGTGATCGTCTACCTTTTTAAACAAGACAATTATTTCTGGGAACCTGGGTGAGTGTTTTTCTAGAATGCAGCAATCACTCAATGATGTCAGTTCTTGCTTTTTGTTGTTTCATTATTCATATAGAAGGATTGTTGCCTTCTAGAAATCCCCTTTCAAATGGGAACAGTTATAGAAAGGAGTAGATCTCTATTTACAGGTTGTAATCGAGTTTTCAACCAAATATTTCTGGGAAGAGATAAGAGGTCCTATGTGGGCAGGGCTTTGAGGGATGTAAAGGAGTGTGGAGGAGAAGGGAAGATATAGCAGGCAGGGGCATTTGTAATGCTAGAGCCTGACCTACCTCCTGGTAGCCTCAACAGTTGCAAGAGGATGAGGTAGATCTTTCCATTTCTTGGTCACTTGGCAAAATCAGGCCCTAGACAAAGGCAGCCAAGGGTTCAGACTGGCAGCATCCTAAGTAGGAGGGTCCCTTCTTGGGTCTAGCCAGGCTCAGCTCTGACCCACCTCCTTTCTACCTGTCTCCTCAGGGTGGGGGATCTGGGGAGGAACAACTCTGCGCTGACTTTCCGGAGCTCGACCTCTCCCAGCTGGATGCCAGCGACTTCGACTCAGCTACCTGCTTTGAGGAGCTGCAGTGGTGCCCAGAGAACTCTGAAACCGACCCCAGCGAGTATAGCCCTGATGACTCGGAGCTCTTCCAGGTATGTCCTCCGAACTTCACCACCGTCTGCCTCACCATGCCTCTCTCTGCCCCTGAAAGCCTGGCTCCACTTGCTCATGCAAAGAAGTCTCTTCATCCACTCCGGCTACTGGGACCCTGTCTGTCGTCCTGGGTCTGCACTTGGTCTTGGGCAGCTCTTGTCCTCTCAGAGGCAGTATTATTGCCTCTGGGAAGTGGGGATTGGGAAGAGCTACTTTCTCCATGCCCCTAGTCAGAACTGAGTCTCTCTGTGAGCCAGAGCGAGTTCCTCCCTTCCTTGAATGATCGCACTGAACTCTCTTTCCCACCCTGTGAAGCAAGTGAGATTATCTCCCCATTTTACAGATGAGGAAACTGAGGCTTGGAGAAGTTTATCTACATGCCTAGGGCGATTTACCCTGTCAGCAGCTGAACTAGATTGAAACGAAGTTTGCCTGCCTCCTAAGCCAGAGCTTTATAATCATGCTGATGCCATAATGGGACTGACTCCCATTCTCTGTGGCAGGACTGTCCCTGTGTGTGTATATTCACTCACTTAATTTTATTAACAACTCTCAGACAGGAGTGTATTTATCTCCATATTTCCATTGGTGCCTAGAGGTTCTGTATTTATTTGTTTTTTTCTTTATTTTTATTTAAAACAATTTTTTAAATTGGAGGATAATTGCTTTACTGTGTTGTATTGATTTCTGCCATACAACAATGCAAATCAGTCATAATTATATATATATATATATCTGTGTGTGTGTGTGTGTGTATGTGTGTATATATATATATATATATATATATATATATATATATATATATTCTCTCCTTCTTGAGCCTCCCTCCCCCCTCCCACAGAGGGTCTTTAAGAAGAAGTAATGCCAGGACCTGCAGTTCATATCTATGCCTCTTCCCCTGTGAGCCCCAGTCTTGGAGGCACGTTTCCTTTAAGAAGGCCTCTAATGTGGGATAATGTGATGTCTGGGATTTGCTTCAGAATAAAGCAATCCCTGCATGCATTTGCATGTGTGGGTGTGTGGCATGGAGAGTAATAGGTGAAATAAAATTGGCCATGTTGAAGCTGGGTAATGAGTACATTTGGAGTTATTATTCTTCCCTTGAATATGCTCCTCTATAAACATTGGAGGAAGAATGCATATCTCCCTGTGCCTATCTGACAATATAATAATAATAATAGCAATAACAATAACATACCATGTGCCAAGTCAGTATGCCATGAGCATCCTCTCAAATAGTTCTCCTGACAAATTGTATCATTCCTTCTAGAAATGTTTATGGAGCTCCCTATGTGTGTCAGACACTGCATTCAACAGTGGACTCTACGGTCTAGAGGGAAGACTGACCCTAGATCAGGTAATACATAGACAAACAGTGGTCACTAGGGACACGGGCACAATAAGAATTAACCTGGGATGAGGAGCATCTGAAGAAACTGGGTGGTCAGGAAGGTTCTTTCTAAGAGGAGATGCTTCAGCTGAAGGAGGACAAAGGAGCCTCATGATGATCCCAGAGCCAGGAAGCAGAAAAACTTGCTGTGTTGGGGAACCGAAGGGCTGGAGGGCAGTAGCTAAAGGGAAAGTGTCAGGAAATGGGGGGTGGGGATGGGCTAGGCAGGGGCCAGATTATGCATGCTCTTCTGGGTCATATTAGTGAAAGTGATAGCTGCTCAGCTGTGTATGACTCTTTGCAACCCCATTGTCTGTAACCCACCAGGCTCCTCCGTCCATTGAATTATCCAGGCAAGAATACTGGAGTGGGTTGCCATGCCCTTCTCCATGGGAACTTCCTGACCCAGGGATAGAATCTGGGACTCCTGCATTGCAAGCAAATTCTTTACTGTCTGAGCCACCAGGGAAGGAGTTGGATTTTCCCCAAGATTATTCTAACCTATCAGTAAAAAAAACTATCAGTAACCCATTTTACAGATGAGAAAAGTGATGCTTAGAGAGGTTAAGTAACTTGCCCAAGGCCACACAGTTAGGAAGGGTCAGTGTGTTTACTCTAATGTAGGAACCCAGCCCCCTCACTGTTGTATGAGGATCAGCAGGACTGGGCTCTGGTTCTGGCTCCTTCTGCAGCCTCCATTCTTTCTCACAACAATGGGGTAAACTGCTCTCTGCTATTCCCTCCCTCAGAGTGGGGCCACCTTCCAGGAAACACTTTCAGGTTATGGAGAACTGATGAGCGAGAGGGATTTGGATGCTGCCTAAAGACCATCCCTGATAGCTCAGTTGGTAAAGAATCCGCCTACAATGCAGGAGACCTTGGTTCGATCCCTGAGTCGGGAAGATCCGCTGGAGAAGGGGTAGGCTACCCACTCCAGTGTTCTTGGGCTTCCCTTGTGGCTCAGCTGGTAAAGAATCCACCTGCAATGTGAGAGACCTGGGTTGGATCCCTGGGTTGGGAAGATCCCCTAGAGGAGGGAAAGGCCACCCACTCCAGTGTTCTGGCCTAGAGAATTCCATGGACTGTTATAGTCCATGGTGTCGCAAAGAGTTGGACACAACTAAGCGACTTTCACTCAGCAATTTAGCAACTTAAAGACCATCCCCACCTAAACTGTACAGGCCCCGCCTACTCAGACCGGCCAGACCCAGTAGTAAGCTCCTGCCAGGAGCCTACTATGTGCATGAAATGGCCTCAGACACAAGTCAGCTTAGTGTGGCCCTTGGGCTCTGCACAGCAAGGAAGGCAGAAGAATCTCCAGAGATGGTCAGGACTGTGGTGGAACTCTGCGTACCCTGCCTCTCTCCCCTTCATGCCCTGCATTCCATAACCTGCGCCACCCATCACACCCCAGTGCCCCTCTGTGAGGGTGATTAGATGATCAGTGCCTGATTCCTCCCCGGCCCCCTCCCCACCCCTGGAGCTTGGGGGCTGATACAACACTGTAAATTGTCATGGTCCCAGGCTGTGCACAGAGACCGGCACTTTCTTTGGGCTTAAAAAAAATATTTATATGAATACATCCTTCAACACCCAGCTCTCATGTTAGCTCTTCCTCAGGCAGGTGGTCAGTCACTTCCTCTCTGGGCTCCCGTCCTGTGCATGCAATGTGACCTTCAGAATTCAAGCTCCTTGAGGACAAGCAGTATTTTGTTCTTCTGTGAGGCCCTTGCACATTGAATTGAAAAGACTCAGTCATAGGTGTTGAATGAAGAAACTGATTACAATGTTTTCTTTCCTGCCAAGGACCAGACATGACCCATTCTGAAGTCCTTGAGCTGGAATTCAGAGCCCAGAGGTTCTAATATGCCCTGCCACTGACTGGGACAGAGTCCTCATTTGACCAGCGGCAGTCGTATAGCCATGCTGCCTTGTGTCAGAGCCATGTTCTCACAAGTCAGGTGGCACCATTGCTATGGAAACAGAGAGTGGAGAGTGGAGAACAGCTATCCTTACAAGAGCTGACAACTGCCCCCGGAGGCAGGGGGGCAGTACCTTCTGTTTGTGTGCCCAGAGTACTGGGGCCAGGGCCACAGTAGGCTAAACTTAGTAAATATTTTTGGAGGAGGCAGGTGTTTGGTTCTGTCACCGTGTGCTGTGTGGCCTTGGGCTAGTAGCTCCTCCCTGTTGGGCCTCAGTTTCCCTGGGTGAGAAATGAGGAATGAGCACGGATTAGATCAGCAGTCCTTAATCTGTTGTAGGGAGAGCACCACTGGGTCCTTTTTAGACTCCTGTGACATCTGTGGACCTACCCCCAGAAAAAAGGAAGGGAAACTGACTTCCTGGGTTTCCTGCACCCCAGTGAATGGGGGACAATCTCTGAGTGTTCTTCTGCCCCTGGGAGCCTGAACTCTGTTCTGTTGTCATTCCCTCAAGCCCCTCTAGGTGCTCAGAATGAAGGTTCTCCCTCTGGTTTCTTGAAGGTTCCTTTTTCTCCAGCCTCAGAGCGCTCAGGAAGATTGGGGGTGGGGCCAAACCTATTAATATCCCTTTCTCAGCTGATTAACTCTCCATTAATTTGCACTCCATTTCTAAGCAGAGCTGGGAGAGCTGAGCTAATGGGCCTGGAAAGAGGAGAGGGCAGTGTGGCTCCCTGTGATATATTATCCTGGGGTGCTGGTGGGACCATGCCGAGGGCAGGGCTGGACTCTCTTCCCAGTCAGAGTCAGGACCCCTGACCCTGCCTGGCTGTTGCGAACTGGACCTGCTAAAGGAGGGCTGAGGACAGAGCGAGAAGGCCTTCTGTTAGTCATTTTGTTTTTGCCTAACCTGCTGGGGCTCCTTGGGGGTCTCTACCATCTGGTATTCATTTCAGCACCATGCTGAATACCTAGTAAGTCCTTGATCATCCTCCCTACCTGCTCCCAACTTGCTATGCAATATTGACAAGTCTCTCCTGGACCTTCATTCCCCCCACCACAAAAAAGAATGGCAAATAGGTGAATTCCAACCCAGACGATCCACATTGTTGCCTGGAGGGTTGTGTTAAGAAAGGGCGTGGACGGAACATTGGGTGGGGGCATGAGGGCATGCAAGCTGCAAGTTTGACTTCCCTGGTCTCTGTGTGACCCCCACGGGCCCTTCCAGCTCTTGATACTTGTGATAATTCAGAATATCTCTGGGCCTTTTTCCTCTGGCTGTGAAAGCAGGACCCCTCCTTCCTTCCAGTGCTGATGACACTGAATGACTTCTGAATAACTTCCCTCTGGAATGGGTTCTTTGAGACTCTAATCTCCCCAGTGGTCAGAGTTCATTGTTTGGTTCACTCATTCTTCCATTCATCAAATCTGCCTGGAGCCTCCCACGCCCCAGGCACTGAGCTAGGAGAGGAACAATTCACAGAGCCCTTGTGAGGCTTCCTCCAGACCAGCCTCCCTAGTAACCCTTGGAGGGAAACTGACTGGGGATCAGGTCTTCCCCCAAAGCTGCAAGGCTTAGAAATGTGAAATGACTTGCCCAAGGTCACCCTCTCAGTGGTAGAGTGCCCCTCAGTCAACCCCAAGAGTGGTCCTTGAGCCCCAGGTCCAAGATCTTAACTCCCCATCAGGCTGGACATTATTGCTCTGGAAACACAGGTTTGGGGGTCCGGCCTGTGGATGGGGATTTGGGCTGCCACTTGAGCCCTGTTGCATTCCTGAACCGGAGTTCTGGACCTGCCCTTGGACCCCCATCCTGGGGGCCCGGGTCAGGCTAAACTGAAACCTTCCTTTGACTTTCTTTTATTCTTGGCTGTCTTGCAAAGTCACAACCACATTTGTTCTCTTTTCCCATGTCCCCCTTTGAATTACTCAACTGCTTCACTGGCTGCAAGGCCTGGAACAGATTTAGTGCAGCCAAAAGGCCGTCATGGGATGTGTATTTCAGATGAACTTCCTGAAGAAAGGATAAACAGCCTGACCTGGGATGGGAATGAGCGCTGGTTAAGACATCATGTGACAGACAGGCCTCCTGCCAGAACAAGCCCAGTAGCTGGGCTTTACTGAGTGGGACGCTCAGTGCCTCACCTGGAAGCAGGGTGATCTCCGCGCAGGGCTGGTGGGCTGGGAGTGTGCATGCTAACCCTCGTGTCAGAGATCTGAGACATCAGGGAAGGAAGCTGGTCAGTTCATCTGTGTGTGCTATGCTCTGTGTCAGCCCTGCCTCTGCCCTGGATTTGCTGTGTGAATGAATGAAATGTACCCAGGGCATGTTGGTCAACCTCCATAAGCCTCAGTTTCCTCAAATGCAAAATGGCAATTAGAATAGTACCCCACCCCCCTTCTAGGTTTGTCATAGCTTTTCTTCCAAGGAGCAAGCATCTTTTAATTTCATGGCTGCAGTCACCATCTAACATGACAGTAGACTTTTTGCTGACAAAGGTCCGTAGTCAAAGCTGTGGTTTTTCCAGTAGTCATGTATGGATGTGTGAATTGGACCATAAGAAGGCTGAGCACCAAAGACTTGATGCTTTTGAACTGTGGTGTTGGAGAAGACTCTTGAGAGTCTCTTGGACTGCAAGGAGATCAAACCAGTCCATCCTAAAGGAAATCAATCCTGAATATTCACTGGAAGGATGGATGCTGAAGCTGAAGCTCCAATACTTTGGCCACATGATGCAAAGAGTCGACTCCTTAGAAAAGACCATGATGCTGGGAAAGATTGAAGGCTGGAGGAGAAGGGGGTGACAGAGGATGAGATGATTGGATGGTGTCACTGACTCAATGGACATGAGTTTGAGCAAGCTCTGGGAGATGCTGAAGGACAGGGAAGCCTGGTGTGCTGCAGTCCATGGGGTCACGAAGAGTTGGACATGACTGAGCGACTGAACAACAACCCCACCCCCACAAGAGTTATTGTGGGGTTTACCTGAGGCAGTATTTACAAAGCCTTTCTATTTCTTTCATCAGCCAAACCCTTTGTCCCTGGCCTTGGCACTGGGTTTTCACTCTGCCTGGAATCATCTTTCCTCAGCTGTTTGCCTGGCTGATACCCTCTCATCTTTCAAGCCTAAATTTCAGTATTAGCTGCTCAGAGCAGCCTTCTTTGACTGCTGTAAATAGCCTATAAATCTTTACCGCATTCTTATTCTGCATCACAGCTTCCTTTTATTTTTTTCCCAAGCTTTCTCACTCTCTGAAATGATCTAGTTTTGTTTCCTTGTTTAACTCTTTTCTCTACTGGAGGGTAAACTCCATGAGCTACCCGTCTGTATCACCAGTCTCCAATCATCGCCAAGCACAGAGTAGTGGTACATATGTGTTAGGAGAAGGAAGAGGGGGAAGGGGAGGGAAGGAATTGCCCACCGCCACAGCCATCATCATCACCATTACCCCAGACCACTATCGTCGCCACCTTCATTATCACCAGCATCATCATTATAGCAGGAGTCGTAGTAGTGGTAGTAGCAGTGGAGGTGATGGTAGTAGTAGTAATTGGTGCTTGTTATGTGCCAGGCACTGTTTTCCTAGCATCTTACATATATTAACTCAGTCCTTGACAATAACCTTATGAAGTAGGTTCTGTTGTTACAGTTGGTAAATGTGAGATCTGGGATCCACCCCAGCTCCAGATCCCAAGCTCCTAGCCACCACAGTAACTGCCCTGCCCGTCCATGAGTGAATGAGGCTGCAGGCCCTGGGAACCGACAGGGGCATGGTAGCTCTTGTCCTGTTGCGCTGCTCATCACTGTCACGGTTGAACCTTGAAGCTTTCAGTCTTTCTACCAGCTGTCTGGGCCCCAGGGTCAGAGAGGCTGACCTGGGGCTGCCAGTGGCATAGACCAGCCTCAGTACTCTGTCCAGGAGTTTGGACACAGGAGGCTGTGGTATAAAGTGACTGTCCTTGGAGAAAGGGATGGGCATCCCCTGATTAGCATGTGACCGCAAGCCAAGGCCCTTTCTGTTACCACCTGCTGTCTGCTTGAAAATCTCTGATTCTTGGAGTCCATAGCAGATTTCTTGAGCACCTGCTTTCCTAGGAAACTGGGAAGATCTGAGCAGGTGTGGCGGGAGGGTGATGGTGGTAGTGGTACAGCTGCAGGTACAGAACAGATTTCTACCCAGAGTCGCTGAGCCCAAGGCATTGGCTAACCATGTCCCCTCTCTGCCTCTCTGCTCACTGCAGATAATCGACAATGAGAATGAGGCCCTCCTGGCAGCGCTCACCAAAACCCTGGATGACATCCCTGAGGATGTTGTGAGTCTGGCTGCCTTGCCAGCCCTGGATGATGGAGACACACCCTCCTGTGTTTCTGCATCACCTGTCCCCTCCTCTGCACCCCCCAGCCCCTCTCTGGAGGGGCCCCCTGCCTCGGCCCCTGAGGTGGACGAGCTCTCGCTGGTAAGAATCTGTTTCCAACTGAAGTGATGGTGGTGGCCTGAGATGGTGGTGTGTGGTTGTAAGGGTGGTGGATGCAGGGAAACCAGCTCCAACCCCCGCAGGAATCTCTGTGCATCACTGGCAAGGGTTCAGGGCAGACAGCCTGGACTGGTGGTGGGCAGCCTCCCTGGGCTTAACCTGCAACTCTGTAGGCCCTTTGGGATTTCATGGATTTACCCTAAGTGTGTGTTAAACCTTGAAATTAAATGCAAATATTTTCCACACACCCTTGTTGGCTCCGACAGTAAAGAATCTGCCTGCAATATGGGAGGCCTCGGTTCGATCCCTAGGTCGAGAAGATCCCCTGGAGAAGGGAAGGGAATGGCAACCCACTCCAGTATTCTTGCCTGGAGAATCCGCATGGACAGAGGAGCCTGGTGGGCTATAGTCCATGGGTTGCAAAGAGTTGGACATGACTGAACGACTGACTTTCACTTTCATTTTCACACATATACACACAGTGAAAAATTCAAGCAGGAAGTATGGAGAGTTAAAAGCAAAACCTCCTTACCCATCTCATAATGGCTTTTTCTTTCCCTGGATGTAACCATGGTTACTGATCTGTTGTGTGACTTTTCTACTTTTTTTTTTTTAACGACAAAAAAGAGCCTCCGTTACACAGCCTAAACCTTGCTTTTCTCAGTGAATTGTGTGGCATGGAAACTCTTTCAGATGAGCAGAGGTAGCTCTGTTTTATCCTTTTTGTCAGCTGCATAGTGTTCCCTATAAGAAGGTACCATAACTTCTTTTAACTAATCCTCTGGTTGGTGGATATGTGCATTGCTTCAACTCCTTTATTGTTCCATTGCCTTAGACTGTGTCCTTCACCAGGAGGAAGTGGATCCATTCCTAGAAAAGGAATTCCTGGGTCTTAATGTATGTGGTTTTTCAGTTTAGACAAGTACTTCCACCCTGCCCTCCAAAGAGGTTGGACCGGTTCATACTCTGACCAGCAAAAGTTAAATGCTACCTGATTCAATGTGGAATGTGGAAATGTACGCATGGTGTTGCAGTTTTCTGGGGAGAAGGTCTCAGCCTTTTCAGATTCCAAAGGGATTTCAGAAGTTGCCGAAAGCAGTTGCTCTTATCGCAGGCTAAAGGTGCCAGAACCCCAGATGTACTGGCTTGTGAAGTCCAGCTCATCTGTCTGAGGCTTCTTACCTCATCAGTGGCACTCCTAGGGCTGGTGAGACTTAGCTGAAAAGTCAGGGCCTGTTAGAGGTGGCAGGGATCTTCAGTCATGGAGAGTTAGAGCTAAATAGGCCCTTGGTAATCATAAAGTACACCTCTGGGGAAACTGAGGCCCAGTGAGGGAAGGGCCTCTCCCAGGATCATACAAGTTGACTTGCCAGCAGTCTTCTGACTCCTAGTCCAGGACCATTTTCCCTCTCTCCTGCTGACTTCATGTTCCCCAAAGCAGTGTGGAACATTTAACAAGCACCTATGCGTGCCAGACTCAAAAGTGTGTTCAGTCCCATGTGATGGCTCCTGCTGATGAGGGTCAAATGTCCTTTCTGATTAGAATCAGACCTCTTGGGTTTGAATCTCAGCCTCACCAGTGAATGCTCTTGTGCCTCTCTCTGACTCAGCTTCCTGGTCTGTAAGGTGGGGTTAATAGCAGTGCTTATCTCAAAGGCAGTTGGGAGGAGTACAGCAGATAATACTTAGAACAGTGCTAGGTACAAAGAAATGGCTCAATAAACGCTATCTAAGTGATAGTCACACAGTTGGCCATGGTGTTAGTAGTAGTATTAGTAGTGAAAAAGTGAAAGTGAAAGTCACTTGGTCATGGCCGACTCTTTTCTACCCCGTGGACTATACAGTCCATGGAATTCTCCAGGCCAGAACACTGGAGTGGGTAACCGTTCCCTTCTCCAGGGGATCGTCCCAACCCAGGGATCGAACCCAGGTCTCCTGCACTTCAGGTGGGTTCTTTACCAGCTGAGCCACCAGGGAAGCCAGTATCAGTAGTAGGAATACTTTGTGCGTGTGAGCACGTGTGTGGTTAGTCGCTCGGTCACGTCCGACTCTTTGTGACTCCATGGACTATATAGCCCACCAGGCACCTCCGTCCACGGAATTTTCCAGGCAAGAATGCTGGAGTGGGTTGCCATTTCCTTCTCCAGGGGATCATCGCGACTCAGAGATCAAACGTACATCTCTTGCGTCTTCTGCATGCCAGGTGGATTCTTTCCTACTGCACTACCTGGGAAGCCCAGTAGGAATAGTAGTAAAGAGAGGAATTCTGTATAGGACTCTGCAGAGGGACCACACCCGAGTAGAGAGGTAGAGAGCGACCCCTGCTGGTCACCGGTTGGTTGGTCCCTCTCGTGCCTTAGACTGTACTTCTGTTTCTTAGACTTGCCATCTAGACTCCCCACATTCCAACATAGTTCTAGAAAGGCCCTGAGAATTTGTACAGATTTTTAACCTGGAGTCATGGGTCCCAGAGAGTCCACCTGCAGAACCCATGGACCTCTGCATACGTGTGTGTTTTCTGAGGCTAGCAGCTTCTCTCGTATTCTTACAGGGACCCCTGAATCAAAAAAGACCCAATTATTTAGTCTGCCTGCTCCTGTTTTACACACACACATGCACACACAAATCCATACACACTTACAATCTTGGAGAAGGCAAGGCCAGGAAAAGGGAAGGATTCACCCAAGGTCTCACAGTGAGTTGGGTTGAACTGGGTTAGAACCAGGTCCCTTGCTCTGGTATGACAATCTTTTCGTGTCCATGTCAGAGGATCACAGACATGCACATGCTGGTTTGGGGTCTTGGTAGGGTTGTGTGGCTTCTCCAGCTCCTAGGGCAGTGGGAGTGGCCTTTTCTTTGGTTCTCGGGCTCTTGGCCATCCCATTGGGGTGACCTGGGGGTCATGTCTCCTGAGGAAACACTCAGTGCTATAACAAAAACCGCTCATGCTTCCTGACTTGTTCTCAACTTCGGCTGTGGTAGGATCCCCGGCGAAACCCCCAGGTGCTCTCACCTCCCTGCTTTGTTGGCTGGAATACACTGAGCACCTTTCCTCTGAGTGTAGAAGTGTGAAAAGCTTATCAGCTTTTATAGAAAAATTAGAAAAGCCAGACAAGCATCAGCTTAGTATGCTTTCACTTGTGTAAAAACAGCTGGCTTGGTTGGAGGTGATGTGTACATATATACATTCTTGCATTGTGTGTGTATATATTTTTGAGTCCCACCTCAGGAAAGGGTCACAAGAAGGTGGTTAATAGCAGTTGCCTCTGGGACCTTGGACAGGAGGGAGACTATCTTCCAGTTGTTTACCCGTTAGTATTTGTGGTATGTGTACTTTCCACCATTTCCAAGTATTATTCGCTTAAGGTAAAGAATCAATTTCCTAAACAATATGATTAAACAAAAAGAAGAAAGGAAAATCAGCTAAAATCCTACACCAAAGGAACATTGTGGGGCCTCACCATCCACACTGTGTATGTGTGTGCCTGTGTGTGCGTGTGTGTAACCACAAGTGTATGTAGAATGTCCGAATCAAGTGTGTGCATCACATTTCAATGGTAGCGTGGGTAGACATCACCCAAGATCTGTTTGGGTTTCTGAAGATCATAGATATTTCTCTTGGGTTATTCATTCTGAAGAGGACTTTACTTTTTACTGGGATACTTGTGTCTGGCATTGCTACACAACCTGCTTTCTGTACTTAATGTATTCCAGGTCATTCAGTGCACTGTCTTCTTCCATGCTCCCGTGATGACGGGGTCAGAGTGTGGTCACTCCGGGGGTGGCGGGGGGGGGGGGGTTGGCTCCAGGCCGGGCTTCTCCCCAAGATGTGCTTCCCTGCGTCTCTGGCTGTAGCTCAGCCCTGGCTTCTCCCATCTGCTCCTCCCACAGCTGCAGAAACTCCTTCTCGCCACGTCCTACCCAGCCTCGACCTCCGATAGCCAGAAGGAAGGGACCACATGGCGCCAGGCAGGCCTCAGGTCCAGAAATCCGCGGCCTTGTGTCAAGGTATGTCTACACATGCCCCCAGACCCACCCAGGACTCCTCCAAGAGGGTCTCTAGGCAGCGGGTGCACCCTTCCACTCTTGTTAGAGGACATCAAGTTCAATACACTCACAGTTCACTCTTTGCTCCTCACACAACCCTTGTTGCTGATGTCCTGGACACTACTTGAAACCTAGGCTGGTCTGGGGTTTGAGAAAGAGCCCTGGACTTTTTCATGTACAGTTGATCTTGAACTACATGGGTCTGAACTGCACAGGGCCACTTCTATGTGGATTTTTGTCAGTAGTAAATACTACAGTACTGCAGGATCTGAGTTCATTGAATCCATAGATGCAGAGCAACGGTGGGTACTGAGAACTGACTATCAGTCACATGTGAATTTTCCACTGTGTGGACCCTTGTCTAGTTCAAGAGTCAACTGTAGGGACTTCTCTGGTGATCCAATGGCTAAGAGTCCATGCTCCCAATGCAGGGGGCCCAGATTCAATCTGGTCAAGGAACTAGATCCCACATGCCTCAACTACAACCCAGTGCAGCCAAATAAATAAATATTTTTTTAAAAAGCCACCTCTCCCTCAGTGTTCCAGGCAGTCTTAGATGTTGAGTTAGAGTGGGGACAAGGAGGCTGTGGCCTGCCCTCAGGAAGCTTATTCTAATGAGGTGACAGAACCCAGCATAATATCCTTGTTGGCACCGTGGGGACCACAAGGAAGAGTTTGAATTTCTCTTGGGGGTGGAGAAATTCAGAGAGCTGAAATCGCCATTGTGAACACCCAGAGGGAAGCAAGTCCTTTTCCCTTCTTGGGCTCCATCTTCTGAGACCTCCAAGGAGGGGTTTCTAAGGTGACTTCCCAGTGTTCTGTTACTCAGAGCCTGCACGCGGCCCTTCCTCTTGTTCCCAGACACCGTTGGCACAGACTGCTGCAGACAGTCCCACCCCTCCAGGCAGACTCAGGATAGCATCTTTCTCAGATAGTGGCCTGGTGCGGGGGCCTGTCCGCTCCTGGTCTGCCCGGAGGTGGGGGGAGGAGGGTGGGCCCTCTCCCTGTGTCGCCTCCCTCCTTGTCCTGGCTGACCTCCCAAAAGAGAGGGCCATCCCTCATGTTCCATTTTGTCACAGAGGCAGCAGCTAAGCCCCTCTGTGAGCCAGCCTGCCCTCTGGAAGGTTCGGAAGCACTGCCGGGGGATGGGGCATGAGAGACAGCAGGACAGCCGGCCTGGCCTCGGCAGAGAGATTGTTGCTCTGGGGGTGGGGCCCATGTGTGGACGAGTGAGGGAGTGTGCGGGGAGGGCTGTTGGCTGGGGCCACGTTGCAGAGCACCCCTGACCAGGGGCTTCCCCTTTACTACACGGGCACTGGAAAGCTACTGAATTTTTCCTTTCTTTTAAAGAGCTTTATGAAGGTGCCACTTACATACCATAAAAGGCACCTGTTTTAAAAGTATGATTCAGTGATTTTTTAATAAATTTACAGAGTTGTGCAGCCATGACCACGATCCAGTTTTAGAACATTTCCATCCTCCCAGGACGATCCCCAGTGTCTCTATTTACAGTCAGTCCCTGTTCCCACGCCCAGCCCCAGGCAGCCACTAATGTACTTCTTGGCGCTGTCACTGAGGGCTCCTCGCAGGGGAGCAAGGTAGTCAGAACAGGGCTTTGGCAGTAAACCTGGAAAGGGCGGGGTCTATAGGTGGGGTCCCTGTTAGGAGGCTGGCCGTTCCTTCATCCTCATCCCCTGAGTGCTGCCAAGTGCGGTTCTGTGCTGGAAGCCGGGGATGGAGCAATGAAACCCAGCGTGATCATCCTGGAGAGACAGCCTGGGCCTGGCCAGTGGTGCAGGTGTGGGCAGCGGGGAGAAGCCGTGCGGGTCTTCCTCCTCACTCTGGCCTCTTTCCCCTCTCCAGATGGATGGCCCCCAAGACAGGAAGGGCCCCACTCCACACTCTCAGAGCCGGAGCTGCACGGAGCTACACAAGCACCTCACCTCGGCACCGGCCTGCCCTCGGGCTAAAGCCGTCTCCCCGGATAGAGGCCTGCAGGCACCACCATCCCTGAGTCCCTGGCTCCCCATCAAGGAGGATGAGGAGGTGGGCGAGGACTGCCCAAGCCCCCAGCTGGCTTCAGCCTCCCCCGGGGACTCACCAGTGCTGGGCAGGACAGACCCCAGCGCCCAGGTTTCCCAGGAGGACATGCAGGCCATGGTGCAGCTCATCCGCTACATGCACACCTACTGCCTCCCACAGAGGAAGCTGCCCACACAGGCCCCAGAGCCAGCTCCACAGCCCAGTAGCAGCCCCGCCAAGCAGGTCAGACCCCGGCCTCGGTCCCAGCACCCTTCCAAAGCCACCTGGACCGAGTTCTCCATCCTGAGGGAACTTCTGGCTCAAGATGTCCTCTGCGATGTCAGCAAACCCTACCGTCTGGCCACACCTGTCTACGCCTCCCTCACGCCCCGGTCCCGGCCCAAGGACAGCCAGGCCTCCACCGGCCACCCGGGCCCCGTGGAGGAGGTGAGGGTCTCACCTTCACCCAAGAGTTCGGGGCCCAGACCCAGCCTGCGCCCGCTGCGGCTGCAGGTGAAAGGGCATGTCAGCCGGTCGGCCAGGCTGCAGCCGGAGGAGGAAGAGGAGGAAGAGGAGGAGGAAGAAGAAAAAGAGGAAGAGGACGAGGAGGAATGGGGCCGGAAAAGGTCAGGGCGCGGCCTGCCGTGGACCAAGCTGGGGAGGAAGCCAGAGAGCTCCGTGTGCCCCGTGCGGCGTTCCAGGAGACTGAACCCTGAGCTCGGCCCCTGGCTGACGTTCACGGATGAGCCCATGGTCCCTGCAGATCCCCAGGGGCCTCTGCCCTTGGGCTTGGCCCCCGAAGCCTATGATGTGGAGGGGGAGCCTGACAGCCCCACGGATGAGGACAGTGGCCAAGACCAGCCGCTCCTGCGGGGACCCCAGATCCCAGCTCTGGAGAGCCCCTGTGAGAGCGGGTGTGGGGACACGGACGAGGACCCCAGTTGCCCGAGGCTCTCTTCCAGAGGTAGTCGGAGTTGGTGGTCCGAGAGAGGGGGCGGGGCTGAGGTGTGGCTGACCCCACTGCACTGGAGCCAGGAGCCCCAGGTTGGGCAAACCCCTCTCCCTCTCTAGTTCTCAACTTCCCTTCCTGTATAATGGGCTTAGCTGGGAAGACCTTCAGGAATCACCTGAGCATCTCTGAGTTTCTCATCATGCATGGGCCAGGCGTCCTTAATGAACAAGGAGCAAGATGCCTACATTCTTGGGGCTTGTGTATCAGTGGGGGAGATGGGCAATCATAAAGTGAGCAAGAAAGGAAAGTAATTACAAATTGTGATAAGTCCTCTAAAGAAGACTTCCTGGGTAACAATGTGATGGAAGGTGTGAGTCTCTAAATTCAGCTCCACAGTGAGGTTGAATTTTAAATGGTAACACAAGTGGGGATAATAATACAGCAGTCATCTATTTTACACTTGCTCTGCCAGGCTTGGTCTATGACTTAATACAGATTGTCCCCATTGATCCTCATAGGAAAGCTATGTGGTGGGTGCTGTTGTTAATTCCTGTTTTAAGACATGGAAACAAAGGCACATAGGTGTCTAATGGTTAGTCAACTAGTCAGTCCTACATCTCCTTGGGGCTGAGCCCACAGATGCTGGCCTTGGAAGTGGGAATGCTTCACCACACGCGCTATACTGATTGGGCATAAGGGGTCGCCCTAGTACCCATCAACGCTGCAAAAGCCGTAGCTCCGCCAGCTGTAAATGTCGCTGAGTCTGGGGGAATGAAGGTTTTGAGCTGTTCCTACTCGTCCCTAAAAATGGCAGAGGCTTTTGGGTCACATGCCTGAAAGAAGCTGTGCTTGGTACCAGTGCAGTTCAGAGGGAAACATCCTCTCTAGCAATGCCATGTTGAAAAATCTTATTTTTCTGTTTTGTCTTCTTTTCAGACTCTCCCAGGTGCCTCATGCTGGCCTTGTCGCAAAGGTAGATTTCTGGAAATTGTTGGCTTATTACTCCATGAGACCTTATCTGGTTGGGTGTAGGATGACTCATTGGCCACTGAGCCTGATCCTGTCCCCACACCCCTGCCCTCTATACCATGTAGGGTTCTCAGGAGCTGGGTTTCCTTGGTAGGCAGTTTGGTTTTTAGAAGCTGGTCTCTGCAGGCCCAAAAGATGGAGAATTTCATGGGGAAAAGCTGACATTGCTGTGTGGCTTTGGGCAAGTGTCTTCTCCTCTCTGGGGCTCAGCTGTTTCATTGTAAAATAAGGAGGTTGACAATGATTGTCTTGTCTCCACCTCCCTCAGATCTCTCCCACGTCTCCTAAAAGCTGTATAGCTCTGAATTTCTCTAACAGCCAGGATGGGGATTCTCCTGCAAATTCTCCCCAGGCCTCACTTTCATGGGTCGCAGAAGCAGGATCTGTCATGGTGTCCCCTTGCCCTCCTGGCATGCTCGGGGAGATGGAATCTGCTCCTAACTGGCGTCTTTTCTTCCTGTCCTCCAGCCCCACCGGTGACCCTCCTTTTGGCAAGAAGACCTTTGAGCAGACCTTGACAGTGGAGCTCTGTGGCACAGCAGGTAAGCTAGGGGCTCAATGGGGAGGTGCCCTTGGGGAGGAAGAACCTCAGGCAGTAAGGGGGTACCCGAACAAGCCCTCCTTGCCACCACTGCACAGGCTACGCTGGATCTGGAGATTCCCATTGAGAGAATTATAAGGAGAGTCAGGACCCAGGCTCAGCTGTTCGGCTGCTGACAGTTGGCACATGACCTGATGTAAAAAAAAAAGAGAGATGCATGTCTTCCCCTGAAGCAGCCCGCAGTCCTATGTGGGAAACAGACTCACATCATGACAAGTACTGTTTGACATGTGCTTGTTCCAAAGACCTTGCAAGAGCTCTGGGAGCATAGAGGAAGGGACAGTATGGGGAGGGGCAGGATGTGGCCTGAGAAGATGCACGGGTACCCAGAGCAGCAGGCATTTCAGCTACGTTTGCAGGGCAGTAGAAGTTGAGGAGACAAAAACAAAAGAGAAGGGTATTCTTGGCAGCAGAATTGGCATGAGCAAAAAGGCACAGAGAAGTGGAAGTACAGGTGCATCGGGGGAGACCGGCCACATGGCAGTGCTGTGGGGAGAACTGGGGCATCAGGCAAGAGCAAACATCAAAGGCTGAGAGGAATGTCAGGCTGAAGGGTTTCATGTAGATCCTCAAGGCTCCAGGAGCCTCAGAAAGGAAGAGATCGCTGGCATTTTGGCAAGTTCCCTCTGGTACCTGGGGGAGGGTGAAGGCTAAGGTCAGTTGCAGGACCACCTAAGGTCACTGTGGTGGTCAAATCCAGATGGGAGGTTTTTGCCTGTGGTGCCTGCCACCTCTGTACCCTGGGAGACTTCAGAGGTATTTGGGATGACTAGTTGGGAGGGTTTGTGGAGTGATGGAATGTGGAGCAGGAAGAGAGATCTCAGACAACTTGGAGGCTTCTGCAAGGCTACAGAAGGGATGGCAAATGGATTTCATCACATGCCAGCTCTGAAAAACTGTTGACAGACTGTATGAGATGGAGTCCCAGGCTACGTCCAGGCTCAGCAGCGCAGTGATCAATTAGCAATGCCTGCTATCCACAGCGTCTGGGGAGTGGTGACATGCATGCTATTTCTCTGCCATCCCAAACGAGGGTTTCAGTGCTCCTTGGAGAAATGATCTGTCTCACGGTGTTCCTCTTGCTTGGGTAGGACTCACTCCGCCCACCACGCCTCCCTACAAGCCCGCAGAGGAAGACCCCTTCAAGCCAGACATCAAGCACAGCCCAGGCAAAGACAGAGCTCCCATCTCAGAGGGTCCCCAGCTTGGGGCCACCACCGAGGCTGCCCACAAGCTGCCAAAGAAGCACCCAGAGCGGAGCGAGCTCCTGTCCCACCTGCGGCATACCCCAGCCCAGCCAGCCTCCCAGGCTGGTCAGAAGCGCCCCTTCTCCTGTTCCTTCGGCGACCATGACTACTGCCAGGTGCTCAAGCCAGACGGCGCCCTGCAGAGGAAGGTGCTGAGGTCCTGGGAGCCATCTGGGGCCCACCTGAAGGACTGGCCCCAGCAAGGGGCCCCACAGGCTGAGGCCCAGGCCTCTGGCAGGGAGGGAGACGGAAGCTGTAATGTTGATGCTCCCACCAAGGACAGCACACTGCTGAGAGACCATGAGATCCGTGCCAGCCTCACCAAGCACTTTGGGCTCCTAGAGACAGCCTTGGAGGATGAAGACCTGGCCTCCTGCAAGAGCCCCGAGTATGACACAGTCTTTGAGGACAGTAGCAGCAGCAGTGGTGAGAGCACCTTCCTCCTGGAGGAGGAAGACGAGGAGGAGGATGACGATGAAGAAGAGGACTCAGGGGTCAGCCCCCCTCGCTCTGACCACTGCCCCTACCAGAGCCCACCCAGCAAGGCCAGTCGGCGGCTCTGTTCCCGCAGCCGCTCCAGCTCTGGCTCCTCATCCTGCCGCTCCCGGTCACCAGCCACGCGGAGGACCTTCAGGTATGGATGGGTGGGTGGCCTCAGGATGGATGGTGGGCAGCTGAGCACCCCCAGTTCTGAGGTGTCAGGGGAGAGAGGAGCCCTGAGACCAGGGCCGCAGCTTCCTGTGTGGCCTGTGTCCTGGTCAGAGGCCCTGGAGGTGGACTCCTGGGGGAGTTATGGGCAAGTCCTGAAGCCAAGTGAAGCCTGCTGTGTGGTCCAGTGGTCCAGATCTCCTGGCCTCCAGGGAGGAAGAAAACACACTTTCTGGCTTTTTGTGACCTTATTCATCTGTTTCTGTTTTTATATTTGTAAAATGGGTAGGTTTTTGTGTAAATATATACAGTTGACCTTTGAATAAGGTGAGGGTTAGGGACAGCATTCCTCCACAGAGTCAAAAATTGTGTGTAACTTATAGTCGGCCCTCCTCATCTGAGGTAACTCCGTATCTGCAGATTCAGCAACTTCTGACAGTGTGGTGTTTACTACTGAAAAGAACCCCAGTGTTGGTGGACTCTCAGAGTTCAAACCTGTGTTGTTCAAGGGTCAACACATGTACACGGTGTAATACTTATGTGAATTTACTTGTAAAACAAAGATTAGCATAATTCTAATTTGTGTTCTAAAAAAACCCCCAAAACCCGGATTTAAAGCGGTGATAAGGTTTATTCCTGTTTCTCGGTGCTGCGGAGTCGTGCAGTCTTCCAGGAGTCAGTCACCCGGTGGGAGAGCTCTTTTTCCTTCGCACCAGGATGACGTGTCATGAGCGTTTCCTCATACCGTCTTTGCTCACTGAACCGGTCTGTAGAAGGAGCCGTTCCGGAATTCTGTGGGGAGCTGGGCAGAAAGAATGGAAGTCTGGCATCTTTTGGTGAAGACAGGTGGCTTCTCTTCCCTAATGACAGCAGGCCCTGGCTCTTCGGAGGGGAGGCCGTAGGAGCCTGGGTGCAGGTCCCAAACCCTCTGCCCGAGATGCACCGGAGTGACCACCAGATGGCGCTCCTGGGTTCAGAGCAGTGCCGCAAGCAGAATCCGGGAGAGGCCTCCTTCCCAAGCTGGTGGCTGGGCCCCGCCTCCTGAGCCTCAGGTTTTGTAGGTCGGCGGTGGGGGTGGAGAATTTCATTTCTAACAAGTTCCGGGGTAACGATGACATTGCTAGAGTGCTATACTCCGAGAAACAGAATTCAGGTAGTAGGAAGATAACCTTAGAAAAATTCCTCTTTGTATTTTCTTATCTCTACCGGTGGCTCTTAATTGAAAATCTGCTGAAAACAAAGCTTCCTTTCCCCGTTAAAATGTAGCAGGCAACTCACTGGGCGTTGGATTTTATGGGACTTCTGGATCCCCCAGACCCCATTGTGCCAAAGCCCTGAACTATCTGTTATTTAAAATGAACTCATTTTGAACCATTTCTCTAAAAGCATGTCTATGTAATAAGCCAGAACAGTTAGTCAGAGACATCTTCTGTCAGACCTCTCCGAACCTCCCTTCCAGCTCTGTTCTTCTTTCCCCAGAGGGTCGCTGTGAGCTAGTCTGCCTGTTGTTCACATTAGCTGGTTTCTTCTGCAGCGTCTGTTCAGAAGCTACTAAGGTTCTTCTCCTGTTGAAGCACATTCCCCAAGGCCAGAGCTGGAGCTTCTTGGCTTCCTTCCCCTCCTGACCTGTTCAGGCCCTTTACCCATGGGCTTGGCACAAGAGTCAGGGGCCTCTCTCAACCACCTTGGATTCTCCTTTTCCTCTTTCTTACTTTTGGGCTAAGTTCAGGCTGGCTTTGGCTGGAGAAAGTTAATTGGTTAACTTGGTTCCTATTCAGCTGCCTGGCAGAGCTTGATGGCTAGTCAATTGGATAAACTAGTCATCAGCCTTCTCCAGACCAGCATTTCTCTACTTGTGCTTCTGCTACCAAACATAATCAACAGGAACGCTTTGCACTGGTTTAACAAGCCCTGCAGCACCTCCAAGTCACTCTGAGCTCTTCATGGGGGAAGACTTCCAATGCCACTGCAAGTGGATAATGATACTCTTATTATATAGCACTTAAAAGTTTGCAAGTCACATCCCTTTCTATTACCCTCTTTGAGCTTCACAGAGGCACTTGAGGGAAGCTCAAGTGCTTTTCATCCCCATTTTATAGATGAGGAAACTGAGGCTCAAAGAGTTTCAATAGAAAAATATAGCCAGCCAGTACTGAGCCATTCCTGAGCGAAGCATGTACACATATGTTCTGATTTGATTCTCCCAAATGGCTGAGGAGGCAAATACAATTGATTCTCCTTAGTTTACAGATGAAGAACTGGCTTGAGTAGCCGGTCCCGGGTCACCAGCAGAGAGGTAGTAGAATCAGCATTGGAATGCTAGCTGACTCTGGAGCCCCTGCTCTCATTCTCTGCTGTGTTCCCAAGGCTGCCAACAGTGTGTGGCAGAGTCGGCACTCAACCCCCCTTACATGCTGTTCTCCTTCCCCTCCAGCTGCCTGGCCATTGGCAAGAGAGGGCACTGTGCAGACAGGTGCCTGGGAGGGCGCAGGCATGTGGCACCCAGGAGCTTCTCCAACTGAGTAGCCCACTGGCTGCCTGGGGTACAGGGGCTGTGATGGCCAAGGTTGCTGCCTGGCCAGACAGCACAAATGGAGGGTCTAGAATTAGCAGACCTCCTACTAGCTTTAGCTTTCCCACTTCTTAGCTTTGGGGCAAATTTCATCTTGAACCTGAGCCTTAAGATTTTCATCTGAAAAATGGGGAAGCATGAGACCTCAGAGGATATTTTTTCGTCAGGTCAAATATCATAATGAAGTGAAAGGGCCTTTCCACCCCCAACAGCATAGAAAGGTTCACAGGGATTATGGTTAGCAACGTAGAAGGCATGTGTCAGTCACATGTTCAGACCCACCTGAGGCCCTGGGTGGTGACCGCTGAGGCGGAGAGCTGGGCTCCCTCTCCTAGTTCTACCTTCACTAATGAACAAGTCCTAACAAAGCTGAAGAACCATCGCTCCTGAAGCAAGTCCTCCTCCCGCCCCACTGTGGTCCCTGCTAAGAGTGAGTGAGTCTGCTTTGCTTGTTCACTGACAGATGTGAGAGCAGAGGGTCGTGTTCAGACGGAACGCCAAGCGTCCGGCATGCCAGGAAGCGGCGGGAAAAGGCCATTGTAAGTGACTTGGGGCCCCAGAGCCCGGAGTGAGTGGGGACAAGCAGGGGCATCAGGAAGTGTGGGGGCTTCAGAGACCCGAAGTGCTTTGAGGTCATCTGGCCTGCAGGAGATAGTTGTATTTCTCTCATTTATGAAAGCACAAGGGTCACCAAAGGGCATCAAAGGTGGCATGTGCAAAATGCAGCCAATGGACTGGTCTGGGAGTTGGGTGGGGTAGTGTGCCGTTGGTGAGGATTTAGGGCTCAGTATCAGAAGCTCGACAGGGCACAGGGGATGAGCACTGATGAGGGAGCAGAGCCAGCCCTGCTTCCACTTCTGTGTGACCTTGACCAACTGCCTTGAGCCTCAGTTTACTCATCTGTATATAGGGTCCCCTGGTGTGATCTGGGCAAAAGGACCAAGAGAGCCTGTCTCTTCCTCCCTGCCCGACTCTCTAGTCCTCCCCCAGAGTTAGTCCAGAGACCCAGGCTGTGCCTGGTAAACCTGTTGCAAAGCAGCACACAGGGAAAAGTCATTAGGAAGCTGGAGTCAGTGTCCTCATATCATTAGAAAGGAGGGAAGGGAAAGTAAGACAGAAGCACAGACAGACTCTCACTGGATTTCCATCCCCACCCCACCCCCACCCCCCCACCGCCCTCGACAGCGTGGTGCTTCAGGGCAGGGCACGCTTGAGGTATGCATACCCCGGAGGTGTGTACAGGTATCTGCAAGCAGGTACTTAAAACCACATGGAGCATCTTCTTGGGATCCTTGTGTGACCATTCAGCAGTTGTGGCATGCCTGGCCCTGTTCTAGGTGCTGGATGGCAACAGCGAATGAGATAAACAAGGTCTCCACTACTATGGTTGGGCCAGAAGGGAGAGAGAGACGACAGACTCATAAGCAAAGCAATAAACACTGTAATTACAGATTGGGAGGTGCACTGTGAAATTAATCACACCACGACTAAGATGTCTGAAACAAATCATGTTTTGACTTTTGGGGAGGATTTATTTACATGGTTGTCTGGAAAGGGCATCTTCAGAGAGCTAGGCCCCAAGGGATGGAAGAAGCCATCCAAGTAAAGGTTCAGGAGGACAGCGGAGGGGGTGGGGGGGTACAGAAGCCGGAAATGGCCTGTGAGTTCAAGGTGCTGGAGGAGGCGGGGGTGGGGAGGGGGCAGGGGGCGGTTGCATTCTTACACGGAGCTGAACTGGGCCACTCTGGGGAACGTACCTGGTGTTTGAGACTGTGCAGCAGTGCCCTCTCTGGACTGCTGCCCTCTGAGGTGCAGGAGGGCATGGCTGGAGGATCGCTGGCCTTAACCTGTTCCAGAGAAAGCCTGTCTAGAACAGACCCTGGTGGTCTTGCCCACCAGGAGCACAGCTGGAGTTTCTCCAGCAAATCAAAGCCACTCTTCCGATGGCCATGCCTTTAACTGGATCCAGTCACTAGATGGTGGTGGGAGGCAGGGGAGGTCCCAACCAGGCTTCCCCGACGCACCCCCTCTGATGGGCAGGTCTAAGGGCCCGGCACCTAAAGGTGACAAGTGTCTACATAGTACCCTGGCAAAACCAAAGGTAATGGTGGCTTACATCCTTATGCCCCTGTCCCCTCTGACCTGTAGCAACCTGGCTGCCAGTGCTCACCCTTTAGCATCCTTAGCACCTCCCCTAATACCAGAAGAAGTCAGACTCCAAACAGATACAGAAGCTACTCAGGGTGCAGTTACAGTAGTAGTGGTGACTTCCTCTCCTGTTTCCGCCCAGTCTCTGTTCATTCCCTTCAAGTACACAGTCACTTCCTTTCGGGCCACCTCCCATCCGATGCTTAACAGTCCCCTCCTCCCATAAGGCAGGTCCTCTGGGATAGTGACTGTCATGGTCCTATCTCTGACTCCAGTCCCAGCTGGAGTCGCTTGCTCAGCCAGGTGACATGGACTGGGGACAAGGACTCTGTGGGAGCCCGCCATCTAGGGGGCAACCTGAATGACAGGTCCTTCTGTGTCGCCCTCCGGCAGGGCGAAGGCCGCGTGGTGTACATTCGAAATCTCTCCAGTGACATGAGCTCGCGTGAACTGAAGAGGCGCTTTGAAGTGTTTGGTGAGATTGTGGAGTGCCAGGTGCTCACGAGAAGCAAGAGGTGAGTCAGGCTCTCGCAGAGGAGGGCAGTAGGGGTGTGCAGAGGTCCCAATTCAGGGCTCACCACATTGGAGATGCCCAAGAGGACTTCCAGGACAAACCTACCATCAGGTACAGGAGAAGGGAGGACCTGTGACAATTGTGCAGCCCAGGAATCACTGCAAACATGTACTGATAGTCTGCTAAAGTGCGAGGCAACTTTCATGCATTGTCTTACTTCAGTTTTCCAACTTGCGTATGACATATGCAGCCTTACTCTTTCTATTGCTTTCCTTTCTGGGTGGCTCAGATACGTTAACTGAGCAGCTAGTTAGTGGCAGAGCCAGATCTGCAGCCCATGTGTCCACTTCTGGTTTTCCATCCTAGAGCTGGTACGGGGTTGCCAAAAGCCCATGGTGGTTGAAGGCACACTTGCATTGCACTCTTGGCTGCAAACCCCACGTTACTCCATCCCTCCATTCCTCTACAGCTGCAGCCCTGTGTCGCACTCACCCGGGAAGCAGTGTCTCTCTCTCGGGAGATCTGCAAGAATAGGTTGCATATAAATGCACAACTTAGGTGTCAAAACTTCATCAGATTTTTAAATAATTCTGAAGTATCTCCTGTTATTACTTGCAAACTAAGTTATTAAGGTTTTAAAATTCTAATTTAATGATGACTTTTAAAAACTTCAGTGAGAAAATAGTTTCTACATAAGAATCATTACACATCTCACATCCCTTAGGATGGCTATAGAAAACTAACAAGTGAGGATGTGGAGAGACTGGAATCCTTGTGCGCTATGGGTCAGAATGTAGTGGGTTGGCCAAGAAGTTCATTTGGGTTTTTTCCAACTGATGTTATGGAAAACCCAAACAAGCCAATAAAAGGTGCAACCACTGTGCAAAATAGTATGGGGGTTCCTCATAAAATTAAACAGAATTTGACCATTTGACCCAGCAATTCCTCTTTGGGGTATATAATCAGAAAAATTGAAAGTGAGATCTTGAAGAGATATTTGCACATACATGTTCATAGCACTGTTATTCACAATATCCAAGAGTTGACAACAACAAGAACGGATAAGCAAGATATATATGCATGCCGTGGAATATTAGTCTTAAGAAGGATGGGAATCAATCCTGTCACATGCTACTACATAGATGAACCTTGAGGACATTATACTGGGTGGAATAAGCCAATCACAAAAAGACACATACTGTGTGATTCCACTTACATGAGGGATCTAAAGGAGTTAAACTCATAGACATGGAAAGTAGAATGGTGGTGGCCATGTGCTGGGAGAAGAGGGTATAGGGGGTTGTTGTTTAATGGGTATACAGTTTCAGTTTTGCAAGATGAAACATTTCTAGAGATCCATCTTACAACAGTGTAAGTTAACACAATGTGGCACTAGTGGTAAAGAATCCACCTGCCAGTGCAGGAGATGTAAGAGACATGGGTTCAAACCCTGGGTTGGGAAGATCCCCTGGAGTAGGCAACCCAGTCCAGTATTCTTGCCTGGAAAATCCCATGAACAGAGGCGCCTGGGAGGCTATAGTCCATAGCAAAGAGTCAGACACGACTGAAGCAACTTAGCATGCACGCATGTTCTTAACACAACTAAACCATACACTGAAAAATAATAAAGATGGTAAATTTTATGGTGTGTATTTTTGTCATAATTTGTTTGAAAAAGTCATGACACAAACTGTTTTATGTTGTGTGCAGTCTTCAGGATATCACATGAGGGTAACATGTTAAAAACAAAGCAAGAAATTTAATCTCTAAGGAGATGGTTCAATTTGTTAAGATTTAAAAATTACTCATGAGTCTCAGATATATAGAGTCAGAGGGCTCCAGCCTTGGCCTGATTCAGAGAGGTGTCAGGAAATGCAATTCAGTTGCATGTTTGTGAGGCACTTGAGGTCAGTAGACCTGTGCTGAGTGGTAGGATCGAGCTGTCCTTGTGGAGTCTGAGTAGCAGGCCGATAGATCAGGATTCATTTGATTGTGAAACTGGTGAGAGTAGATCTGACTTTAGGTCCCCCTCTTGTTGGCATTCTTCTCAGGCAAGCTTCCCTCATGCTAGCAAAGTGGTTGCCTCCAGCTGTCAGCATATCTCCTACCCAGCGAAGCAGGAGTTCCAGCAAAGATATGGCATGGAATCTTTGGGGTTCTGTTTTGGGTGACAGGTTCATGCTTGAACAAATCACTACGGCCAAGGAGGGTCAGTGTCTTGTGCCTTACTTACCCTGGTGCCCTGAGCCCAGCTGAGTACTGGGTGGTGTTGTTAGAGGGCAGGGAGATAATGCTGAATAGGCAGGCATGAAGGAGGAGATGTATATGCAATACCAGCAATCTTAGGGAAGGTGAAGGACAGGTTAGCCTCCAAAGAAGTGGTGGCTGAGGGACTTCCCTGGTGGTCCACTGGTTAAGAATCTGCCTTCCAATGCAGAGGATGTGAGTTCCATCCCTGGTCGGGGAACTAAGATCCCATATGCCATGGGGCAACTAAGCCTGTGTGCCATGGCTAGAGACCCTAGAGAATCCGCATGTCACGACTGCTGAGCCCGTGTGCTCTAGAGCCCATGTGCTGCAAGAAGAAAAGCCCGAGCGCCACAACTAGAGAAATCCCACGCACTGCAATAAAGAGTCAACACAGCCTAAATAAATAAATGAATATTTAATTAAAAAAAAAAAGAAGTGACAGCTGAGGCTGACTTTGAAGGGTGTGGGAGTGGTAGGATGGAGCGTAGGTGTGGCCGATCCTGAAAAATGGGCATTGTGAAGGAAATAGAGAGGAGCATGAAAAGCCTCAGGTTTCAAGGCAGGAAGTCTGGGTTTGAGTCCCTGCTCTGCCCCCTGTCTTTGGGCAAATCCTCAACTCAAGAGCCTGTTCCTCATCCCAGAGGGACAGATAACAGCAGTCCCCGGTCACAGGGTGTCTGAAGAGCCTGTGAGGCGACGGGTGGTGGCCAGCACTTCTTAGTATTTTATTGCCAACCCAGTGACCATCGTCATGTCTGTTGGGGAGCCATGAGATGCAGTCATGAGTCAGTGACTCATGACTCATGGTTTTCCCGCTCCTCACCTGGTAGCAGGTGGTCGGACAGTGTCCACCGGCCTGGCCCAGTGACACGCTCCCCTTTTCCTCTCCTTCCAGAGGCGAGAAGTATGGCTTCATCACCTACCGGTGTTCTGAGCACGCTGCCCTGTCCCTGAGGAATGGCGCCGCCCTGAGGAAGCGCAGTGAGCCCTCCTTCCAGCTGAGCTATGGGGAGCTCCGGCACTTCTGCTGGCCCCGCTACACTGACTACGGTGAGTACACAGGCCCTGCACATCCCGCTCACCAAAGATCTGGGGCAGTGACCTCCTTTATTGAAACCTAAAGTCCCCTCTGGACATGGCTCCCGTGCCCAGGCTCCCCTGTCATTGTTTAGTCTCTGAGTCGTGTCCAACTCTTTGTGACCCCATGGAGTATAGCCCACCAGGCTCTCTGTCCATGAGGTTTCCCAAGGAGGAATACTGGAGTGGGTTGCCATTTCCTTCTCCAGGGGATCATCCTGACCCAGGGGATGAACCCACGTCTCCTGCATTGGGGAGGATTCTTTACCCCTGAGCCACGGGGGAAGACCAGGCTCCCCCAGGCTGGTGGGAGTAACTTGGCAGCCACTTGACCTGGAAGCTGTCCTCTTGTTTTCCTTCTGGTGTCTGGTCTGTCTTGCCCTATGCCAGGACTGGTACCAAAGAGATGAAGCCTCTTGTGGCCTCTTGGAAGGTCCAGTCTCGTGTTCGCAGCCAGGTGGCAGAACCACAGCTGCTGTCTCTTTGACTTCATAGGCCCTGCCATCCACGGTGGCCCTGACAGACAGCAGCCTTGTCCATTACTGGGCCACAGCGAAACAATATTGTCACCATGCCCTCACCATCTGGGGACAAGTTGGTAAAGAAGGACAAGTACAATTTGGGAGAGAGTTCGTGGTAGGCCACTGTCTGCTGCAGCCTCCATGGTGCAGATCTGAGTGTCAGGAGACCCCGGAGGCACCTGACCAGGCAGTGCTTCTGACTTTGTGTCCCCCATGGGGACTCAGTTCCCCAGCCACTCACTGAGGACATCGTAGTTGTCTGCCTCATGTGACTTCTGCACTGGTTTCCTAAAGGGCATGAAACCATTAAGGGAAGCAGAATTAGAGGCTGCTGGAGCGGAAAAGGAGCCCTGGGAGGAGGGCTCTGGTTCAGGCATCCCCAGCCTGCAACCAGGGCAGCCAGGCCCCCAAGACACCACCCATATGGCAGAGGTGGCCCCGAGGAGCGCAAAGCCACTGCCCACTGCTCTCTGAGACCTCAGGCTACCTCCGCTCCGTGGGGCTGACCCTGGTGGCAGATTTTCTGATCGGCAGGCTTTCTGAATCACTCATTGCCTTCCCCTCTCACTGACTCCTCCACCCCCGCCCAGATTCTAATTCAGAAGAGGCCCTGCCTGCGTCAGTGAAAACCAAGTACGAAGCCATGGATTTTGACAGCTTACTGAAGGAGGCCCAGCAGAGCCTGCACTGATAACAGCCTTAACCTTCGAGGAATACCTCAATACCTCAGACAAGGCCCTTCCAAAATGTTTACGTTTTCAAAGAAATTAAGTATATGAGAAGGCGAGAGAGCGAGCGCGTGAGAGAGAGAGAGAGAAACTCAGAACTGCTGTCCTTTTAAAAAAAAAAAATCAATGTTTACATTGAACAAAGCTGCTTCTGTCTGTGAGTTTCCATGGTGTTGATGTTCCACTGCCACATTAGTGTCCTCGCTTCCGATGGGTTGTCCTGGGTGGGCGTCAGATGCTTGGTCCGGCACCCACCTCCCCTTCCTCCCTGACCGACGTCCCCTCGTAGACGTGCAGCTGTGTTCACCATACCATTTCTCGTCTGTAGTGTGTGATGATGAAATTGTTACTCGTGAATAGAATCAGGATTATAAACTCATTTCTAATTGAAGAAAAAAAGTATATCCTTACAACAATGTATTTATGGCTCAGACGTCCTGTGCCTGGGATTATTGTGTTGCTTCTTTGGTTTTGTTAACTATGCACTGTCGTGAGGTGTTTGCCACTGACCTGCACCGCTCCCTTTGCCAGAATGCCCCAGAGGTGCTGGCAGCCAGAAGCCTGGTCACCAGGGAGAGAGGCATGCAGCCACCACCAGGAGCGCTGGAGAGAGGGCCTGCTTCTGGGCCTGTTCTGCCAAGCGCTGCCTTGTCTCACTGAGCAAGCTGGGGCCTGTTTACACTCAGAGTTTGTGCCTGGCCATGAGTGCGCAGATCCCTGAGGACCTTGGAAGGAAGGTGGGGTGAGCTGCATTATTCCCATTTTCCAGGTGAGGCCTGCAGTGCCCCAGGAGGCAAAATGACTTGCCCAGGGTTTCACGACCGGTGAGACTATAGTGTCCCAGCCCAGGCCCCTCCTTCTGCCTTAGCTAGGGTAAAGAGGCAAAGTTGCAAGGACTGGTAGAGGTGGGTTCACCTAAGGACAACAGGCTGGGCACCTCGGGGCTCATTTTGGGGGGTGAGTTGGCAGCTGCCTTGTCAATATCAGGCAAGTTCAGGCTTTGGCACCAATCTTGATCCAAGGGGTCCTGGGTGTGCTTACACCAGTGGACACACCATCAGACCTTCAGGACACACCTGGAGTGATGCAGAGAGGTGATCTGGAGCAGTCGCCCTTTGGGGCCAGCTACCACCTCATCCTCCTTCAGCTTGACTTCCCTTTTCTTCACCTGTGAAGTTGTTCGGGTGGCAGGGGTAACAGGGAGCAGGAGGGGATGTAAGGCATGGGGATAGATAAGACAATCTCCAAGCTCCTTTCCAACTTGGAAAACATTCTCATTGGGCTTTACTTTAAAGTTTGTGTTCTTAAGTGATATCAAAGCCATGTCCAGCTTGGATGTTCGGGAGGTGCCTTGGGGGCCATTTGTGAGGGGGAACATGGCCAGGCAGGGTGAGAGCGTACTGCTTCAGCTTCAGACAGAGTGGCTCCAACTTGGTCTTTTTCACACATCAGAGTTCCTTGGGGAGTTTTTGTATTTGAAAGAAAAGAAGAGAAAAAAGATCCTGCTGCTTAAAAAAAGTTGAACTTGGCTCATTTAACTAAACAAAGTAATATAATATATTACTAATGCCAAGCCTTGTTCTTTGGCAGTTGGTAGTTATGGGGTTTGGATTTTCTGTTTATGTTCTTAAGATTATAAAATACCTCAGTAGGTTAACTGGGCCGATAAGCCTCTGCTGAGAGGTGAGCATACTTCAAGCCCACAGAGAAGGTTGGAGGAGACTGGCACGGGAAGAAATGGGGAATCTGAGTTCCTATGTAGCAAGTCACTTCACCTCTCTGGACCCCAGCTTTCTTTTCTGTGAAATGGACCAAGGAGGAGAATTAGGCAGGCTGATCTCAAAGGTCCATGCCAGCTCTGATAGCTGTGGCTTCTAAGGTGGTATCTAGCAAGTACATGACATATGGGCCACTATTCCCACATCCTTGGCCAGTTGCAGACATAACTAGTTGACCACTGCACTCATGTTCTTTGAACTTGGTCATGCTCAACAATCCTCATCACAGTGCTCTGAGCAGTCATGACTAGTTGATGAGAGTTTAACCTATCTGACATCCTGGTCTAATCTTTGAAAGGTTTCTGTCACAGAGAACCCCGTGGTGGCCAGGTTTCATGCTGGCCCATCCCTCTATGTCATGTCCTGATCTATGAAGAGAAAATTGCCCTTAAGCCATTCCTTGGCTCAGGACTCCCAGTACTACTCCGACACAATCCCACTTGCAGGTGGGGGCCAAGAGGAATAGTGGACAGGAATATGTTTGGAGAAGGCAGGGTTTATGAGGATAGACCAAAAAGACGAGTCTGAACATTATAAATTCCCTTTATAGCTGTTCACTGCCTAGCACACAGTAGGCACACAGTAAATCGTTATGGGATAGAATGGAATGGAATGGAATAGAATTTAAATCACCTGATGCCTCCCCTAACTCCTGATTTGCACCAATGAGTAAACTGAAATTTCTTCCTGTGGAAAAAATAGAAAGGAACTATACATTCAAAGTGGAGAAAGCTGCGTTGAGTACTGGCTTTGCCAAGAACTAACTCTGTGACTTCAGTAAGTCAGAGTCCCTTCCTCTCCCTAAGTCTCAGGAGGGGTTGGACTAGAAGATCTCTAAGCCTCTCCTGTTTGCTTCTTCCTTGATTGCACTAGACCAGAGGTTCTCCCATGGGCAGGTGGTACCTTAGGGTGAAGAAATGCAGATTTTTAGTGAAGGACAAGTCTCTTCCCTCTACGGGGTCAGCTGAAGTCGCCCTTTCACTTCAGATTAATACAAGGCACTTGAAGGTTTTCAGATGCTGGCTTTTGAGCAGAGATTTGAGTTTAATCCTGGTGATATGCTTAAGGTTGGGGCTGGGGTCTGCGGATGGGAGATGATGCCTGCCGAGGGCATTGAGCAGTTTCTTCTCACCATCCCATACGTAAAAGGATACAAGTTCTAAAATTGACCAACCCTGCAGACAACCTCCATCCGAAGACTCATTCGGTGCTGTGTATTATTTACCAAGGAGACTCCAAGGTCTCTCCAGGAAAACCAGTCAACCTTGGTCTCTTTCCTACCAAATTAAGGAGTCACCCAGAGGGAGCAGCTGCCATTGGCAACCATCTCATTGTAGCTCTGTCCTAGTATTTGCTCTCCGTCATGTTTACATGTGATTGCCATACAAGCTTACAGTAGACTGTGTTGGTAGCCACCCACACAAGGCAGGTTGTACTGTCCATCTCTGTGCCGTGCTGGTGTTTTCCAAATATGTTCCATCTAAATGCTAAGTGGAATTCTTCCATCTCCTTCCTCAGTCGGTACAAGGCTGAATCAGAATCCTCACTCTCGGGGGCTCTGGTTAATGAAGGAAAATGCATCAAAGAGGTAAAGAATATGAGTGGATGAAGTGCAGCTAAGGCCCTGACCCTCTTCTCCCCATCACACCTTGCCCCCCAATCAGAACACTGCTTTGAGGTATCAATACAAAGCACCAGTCAGGTGTCTACAGCTGCTGTGGGCTCTCATAGCCCTGTGTGTGGAATGTGCTCAGGAGAGAGGCGAGGCTTTGGGAGCTCCAGGGTGGGAGGAGGAAGGTGGGGGGGGGGGGATGCTCTGAACTGCAAAGACTCGGTACTCAGGTCCTTATGTGGGAAGAGATGCAGTAAGAAATCTTTCTCGCCTAAAGCCTGTGTTTGTTGATGTTCGGAGAGCAATTCTAGGCGTGTGCAACATGCACGCTGAGGGGACAGGGACGGCATGACAGTGCAGCCCTTCTGCATGGACAGCTTGAAACCCTATTCCAGGCCTGGGGTTCAGTTGAAATGACAGCTGAGCCCCCAGCTTGAGCGATGGGATGTCCCAGCTGTGAAGCAGAATCAACCCCAAAGGATTTGTTGATCTGACTCACTCATGTTGAAACTGCAGTCTTTTCTTACCGTTTGTGACTTAGCAATTGTCCTCAGACATGACCAAGGAAAGAAGTTGAATGTATAGTAGCAAATAAAGCGAACCTAATGGTTTCAATGGCCAAAGAAGAGGGATCCTTCCCATTGGGGCAGAAGGAAACCAGTTGATGCTTATGTGCAATATGTTTAAGCTGGGCCCCAAGTCCCTGAGACGTTTGCACACATAGATGGGCTCCAGGACTGTCTGCTGAGTCCAGGGGTACAGGGTAAATGGAGGGAGAGCTCAGGAGCTGGGAAACCTTCGTGCATAGAGATGCCCTTGGCTCAAAACAGACATAGAGCGGAGGGCCCCTGGGAGCCGGCTGTAGAACGCCCAGGAAGCAGGCAGAGGCTGACTTTGCATTAAGCCAATAAAAGCACTTTGAGAAAACCATGACACTAAGCCTGGCTCCATGTTTCTATACTGGCAAACATGGATCTCCCTGGGCTATGTGAGGTCCTCTCCTAGGCATTGGGACAGGGGGCCAGCAAAGGGGCTGGTGAGGGAGGAAGGCAGAGATGCCTTCATAGACATCAGCCAAGGGAGAGCCCATCCTAGGGCCAGTCCTGAAAATGGAGCGATGCTTTTTGATCTGGTACCTATTTTTGTAAAAAAAAAAAAAAAAACGAAGACAGCACAGCCAATTGAAATGGGTTTGCAGAGTAAGTCACTTACCTATAAGCCATCTTAAAGTGAGAAACCCAATGTTTTTTACTTTCTATGTGATCTTGGGCCTCTGTTTCCTCATTTACAGATGGGAATGAATATTGGATGGGCTGAGTGCTAAAGTCCCTTTCACCTCTGATGGGCTAAGATTCCCATCCTGGAGCATCGGGAAACCATCATTAACTCATGAAACCAATTCCATTCTCTGGCTGTGCCCAGCTTATGTTCAGGGTGAGAGTTCTCTGCAAGGTAACCAACTATCAGGGAATTCAAATCCACATGGTCCTGGCCGAGTTACCTTATATGAGGAGGCCAGCTCCCCAGGACAGATCTAAGCCATAGTTTCTGGTGGGGATGGTGAGAAGTTAAACCCCAGCTTGGCTGGATGGTGATGTCAGATCTCACATTAGCTTTGTCATCGTCCCCACCAAACAGCTTTCAATCCGAATGTTGTGACCACTTGGCTGTTTCTCTGTTGCTCTCAGACAATACTAGCAATACACTTGTTTTTGCAAAACAGTTTAACTTAGGCACTTTTCACACATTTGTTTCAAATGATTGTAAAACATACGGGGCAACAGGAGGCATGGATCACACTGCATATGTTTAGGGCAGCTTTTGTTTTTTGTTTCTTTAATGGTATAGCAGTGGTAGCTGAGGCTCTGAGATTTTGTGGGGAAGATTTTCAGAAAACTCCAGTTCATCTGAATGCCTTGCACATTCAGAAGCAGCACAGAAATCCAACTGCCCAAACTGGGGGCTCGGAGAATAGGGTTTTGTAGGTGGTCAGTCCCTGGGCTGTGCAACAACACCTCCGAGAGGTGTTTTATAGCTAGGACCCCCTCTGTGCTGTATGTTTTGTCTAAGGATCCTCCAGACCTCCACTTTGCCAGCCTCGCTCATGGGTGACTTTTGAAGGGATTGGTCAGCTTCCACCTCCGCACTTTGCCTTATCAATGTCTAGTCGCCATCTAGTGGCCAAAGACTGTATCCACCAGCTACCCAGATAGAAGGCAAATAAAGCCTTTGGACCACCTTGCAGTCCAACACCAGTGTTGCGGATGAAATGCAAGGACATGAGCGAACTGTCTATGTGTTTAGAGCCCAGTGTAACACCAGTCAGAAGCCCCAGAAGCAACCACTCAGACAGAAAAATACAATAGTTCTCCTGAGGGCAGCGGAAACACGAGTGGACCTGGCCCAGGTGCCCAGGAGGGGTTTACTGTAACTGCAATACTGGCAGCCCAGCTGCTGACCTTGTTAAGTGAACCTCTGCTAGGTGGCCCCCACTGGACCCTCAGGACAAGCAGAGAGGTTGTGCGTGAGGATTTTGTGGGGGTCTGGCCGTGGCCTTTGATATGGTCTACCGAATAGCCAAACAGCTTTTATTTGCTTGTTTTGTATTTTGTATTTAAAAATCTTGTCAAATGTTTTTGTGTTAGGAATAAAAAGTCATAAACTACTCCCAACTTTGTTTCTTGAGGAATGTTCTGATTCCAACAGAAAGAGGTTGGAAATCTCAAGGGGTGTGTGGTCAGGATGGTCAGTGGACCAGGGAAGTGGACCGCTTGGATTTCCAAATGGTTTCAGTGGAAGATGACCATCCAGAAGTCCAACTTGGGGCAGTCTGCTCCGGAAATTCGCACCCACCCACCCCCTTCACTTCCTTGTGCTGCGATATTAGCATTAGCATTGGCTTGGAGCATCTGCTTCTTCCAGAGGTGGCTGCTAATGTTGAAACCAACCCAAGATTCTTCCCCCCACCCACCCCAGGTTTCTAAAGAGATGGTGTCTGTAGCTAGCCTTAATTGACAGGGCAAGGTGGTCCCTATGGTCCCTTCCAGCATTTCCAAATCTTGGACTCAAATTCTTTTCTCTTGGTGTGACCATGCAGCCTAGAGAATTCTGAGCAATAGGAAGCCAGGGCTTTCCCCGGCTCTGTAACAGGGTCAAACCAGCGAATGGCTCACCTTGTGAGGTTTGGGTATCCCCAGGGGTACTACCATAGGGGGCATTATTTATTAGGAAGCTCAACAAGGTAACTACAGCCTGGGGTGCGTGAGTGCAAGGCTGTGTGTGTGTGTGTGTGTGTGTCTGCACGCCTATGTTTGTGTGTGTGTGGAATTACATTGATGCATTTCTTGAGAAAGGTGCAAGAATTTCACCTACACAGAGGGACACATCTGCTTTGTTATTTATAATAGAAAGCTAAATTTTAATTTTTTAAAGGACACTGCTAATGATTGAGAATCGAGTTTTTAGTTTTGCTATTTTTTTTAATTGGTAGAGGATTTTTTATATATTTTTTCCATTTTGTTGGGTTGTGTCCTTATTTATATAAATACTTTATCTGTGAGAGGCAAGGAAGAAAACTTCTTTGCTTTTAATTATTGTGGTTGTCATTGTCCCTATTTTATTTCTGATGTGATTTATCTGTCTTACCTTCTAAATGAGAAAATGTTTTCCTGTATTTGTACATTGTCAGATTCTATAGTTTCATAGATAATTTAACCAAATTGCTCTATGTATTATTATTCTGTGAGTATAAAGTTCTATTTTAACGTCTGTAAATACTTAAGAACTGGCTTCTTTTCTCAAACTCCCATTGTGGAGTTATTGTTTACATCACAAAAACTGTAGAATCTCTATGCTCATGTACTGTAAATAGTGAAGTGATCTGCTTATAAATAAACTTAACAAATACACTATGGAGATTAAAAAGGAAATATCACCCGCAGCTCTGCTCAGGTGTGTCTTTCTTTATTGGGTCCTATGTGCTTGTTGAGGGTTGCTCCGGTTACTAACTAGAAAAATGCTTCTAGTTTCAGGGTCATCTCTCAGAGAAGACCTCAGCCCAGGGTGCCTCTCTAAAATTTTCCAAGTTTACTTGTCCTTTCTCCATAGCACTTTTCATGGATCACAAGGAACCATTCAGACTTGCTTCCCATAACATCCCTCCATTCCCAGGTTTTTGCCAGTATGACTTTTATAAAGCTGTACCACCTTCTGAACAAGGACTCCCTTGTTTCAGTATATCCACTTTTCCACACAAACACACTACATATATGTGCTAAAAGAGATATTTTGACATTATGGTTTCAAGCAAAGACACTTGCCAGTTGACAACTGTGAAACAATCTCTGGACAGAGAATATGGAAAAGAGACTTGAATTGTGTACCATATTTGGGTGAACTTGAAACATTTTCCTTTGCTTACTTACTCCCAGTGAGAGCAGTGAAGAGTGGCATCTTCCAGGACCTTTCATCTTGGATGTGTGTGTTATTGCTGAGAAGTTGTCCTGGGTTAAGCCAAGATGGACAGGGCTTAACACCTGGCATGGATCTGTCATTGGCTGCAGGCCACCACCCTCAGGCAAACTGTCTCCCTGCGGATGAGGTAATCCCGAAGGGACTGAGACCGAGGGCTGTCTGTTGACAGGGCTCATCACTGCTGAGACCACGGTCTTCAGGACAGGGTCTGGGCAGCTCATCGCAGCATCCGCCACAGCTGGATATTAGGGGTTCATGTGTGGCATGAGATCATGATGTGCTTATGTTTGAAAGCACCCATTCATCTTTAAAGATGCGTAATGGATGAGTCAGTGATATGCCTGGAATTTGCTTCTAAATATTTCAGCTAAGAAAAAAATGAAAACTCTAAAAGGACAGATGAAACAAATGCGGCAAAAATCCTGATGTTAGAATCTGCGTGATGGGTAGGTGGCAGTTCATTGTGTAATTCTCTACTTTGGTGAATGATTGCATATTTGTGTACTATTAAATGAAAGTATAAGAACGCAAAAGATTCTAGGTAAGCAGGTGGGTCTGGCACTAATGTTTGAGTCTGTGAAAGCTAAAATGTCAGTTGTCACTCAATAAAAAGTTCTCACAGCTGAAAAAGAGGCTTGAAAGCCACTAGGAAAGATGTAAACTAAATTCTCTTTCAGTTTTCAAACCCCACAACTCTGACTTCTTGAGCAGGTGGTGTGTGGTTTCCCACCGGCCCGGGTCCTCTCGTCCGTGAAGGGTGGGACCGGCCTGGGCCCTGGATCCTCGCTCTGCTATTGGACACAGCAAGACTTGGATGCAGGCCCGCCCCCAGGTTGCTTTCCACCAGGTTGACTTCCTGCGGCTGCTGCAATCAGACAGGAAAGAGAACACACCAGGTGAGAGGAGGGTGCAGCGGGCTTTCCCTCTGACCTTGTTTGGACCAAGAGTTGCAAACTCAAGGGCTTTTGGAGGCCCTACATCCACCACTTTACTACTGGAGTTTATCCTACTCTGGTCAGGGGCAGTCGGGGAGGAGTAGAGGGGAGGCTCCTTTGCTGGGAGCCTCAGTCTTGGGAACCAAGCTGGGCCACTGCTGATGGTGTGATTTGACCATGACACTTCACCTCTGCAAGCCTCTGTGCTCTCATATGTAGAATGGGGGCAACTGGGTTGTGGAGTGGCCTGAATGGGCCCACGTGTCTAAGGTCGCCAGCACCCAGTGTGTGTGGGGTTGGGACCCCCCATCCTCCCCCTTCCACAAACCTTGGTTGGCTGCCTGCTGTTTCTGCTTCTCCTCCTCCAGCCCCTTCACCTTGGTGTCATACTCATCAGCAAGTGCTTTCCACTCCTTGCGGTTGTTGGTAATCCCATCCAGCATGGGAGTGATCTCCTCGTGGAAACGGGAGAATTCCTGCAACAGACAGAGCCTCTGGCACAGGTGCGGAGCCCTGGGATCGGGCTCCAGGCAGAGCAGTCTGTCAGGTCCTCACTGGAGTGAGCTTCCGCAGGTGGGCGACAGCTTCTGTCACCCAGTGGTGTTTCAGACGACACTGCAGGGCCCTCAGTCACAAGGTCCCATATCTCGCTTGCGTAATACCCTCCTGTGCCACCACCTGGTTTTCAGGATGGAGCACAAACTCCTTCACAAGGCTCCCAGACCCAGTGGGCTTCCTCGTCACCAACTGGAACCCTCCGGACATTCCAGATCTCTGTCTGGGCCTTGCACTAGCTCGTCGCTTTGCTGGAACTAACTTCCCCCTCTTTTCCCTTGAGGGCTCTACTCAGACATCACTTCCCCAGGGAAGCCCCTTCTGATCCCCAAGGTAAGTTGAGTCCTCTATTAGCAGCTCCCCAAACCGTTCATTCCCACATCGAATTTCACTGTAGCGACTCCCTCTGCCAGTCTGCCTCCAGAGCTGTGCACTGGGAAGGAGGCACATCTCTGCTCGTTCACTGGGGTACCTTGGCCCAGTACAGGGTTTGGGGCACAAAGACACTCAGTATTTGCTGAAGGATATTGGGATGCGAAGAGGATTCTGAAGGGCTCTTAGCCCTAGATAAAAATAATGCCTTTGAGCACAGCACCAGGTTACGATGCACTGTGTCTCCTTTGGTCCTCAGAAAACTCCTGCCAGGTGGGACAATGAGACTCCTCACTCCTAGATTTTTAGGGGAAGAAATGGAGATGCAGATGGGCAGAGATTTGCATAAGGTCAGAATGGCTCATCCAGGGTCCACTGCAGAGTTCAGCTAGAGCTAGCTGTGCTCAGATCAATTGTGTCACCAGCCGTGTGACCCTGGGCAGGTCCCTTTGATATTGGGACGGTACCTCATGGAGTTGCTGTGATAAAGCACGTAAAGCTCTTAGACCAGTCCCCATTGTTTTGTATATTACTGATGATCACAGAGAGCATCAGCTACCCTGCCCTCTTGCTTGGAGGATCCTGGTTAGTCTGCGTTATATCAGAGATGCACTAGTGCGCCCCCTGCAGGCAGAAGGGCTGCAGCTCAAGTGAAAGTGAAAGTCGCTTAGTCTTGTCTGACTCTTTGTGACCCCCATGGCCTATGCAGCCCGTGGAATTCTCCAGGCCAGAATACTTTAGTGGGTAGCCTTTCCCCTCTCCAGGGGATCTTCCCAACCCAGAGATCAGACCCAGGTCTCCAGCATTGCAGGTGGATTCTTTGCCAGCTGAGCCACAAGGGAAGCCCAAGAACACTGGGGTGGTAGCCTATCCCTTCTCCAGTGGATCTTCTTGACCCAGGAGTCGAACCGGGGTCTCCTATATTGCAGGTGGATTCTTTACCAATGAGTTTATCAGGAAAGCCCTCACGTAGCAGAAAGAGCCCTCAAATACAGGGTCAGGCTCCCTGCTCTGATGCTGTGTCCTGGCCCTGTCATTTCTCCTGACATCTGTCTCCTCTTACAACATAGCCAAAATAAAAATAACCAATGGGAGGTGGATGGTGGCACAGGTAATATGGATGGGGCATGACGGGTTTCTCAAGAGGGAGGCTTTAACATTGAGCCAGAACTCAAAGAGAAAATTCAGAGTATCTTTTGACAATTGAGTAACTGTGACCTGTCATATTCCCGCCAGCTGGGGAAGTTAACTGGACACGTACCTGCTATGCTCCCCATTTCTCTGCCTGAAAACATGATATGTCATTTGACCCACAATTATTTACTGAGCAACTCTGGGCTTCCCTGATAGCTCAATTGGTAAAGAATCCACCTGCAATGCAGGAGACCCCAGTTCGATTTCTGGGTCAGGAAGATCCACTGGAGAAGGGATAGACTACCCACTCCAGTATTCTTGGGTTTCCCTTGTGGCTCATCTGGTAAAGAACCTGCCTGCAATGTGGGAGACCTAGATCCCTGGGTTGGTAAGATCCCCTGGAGAAGCGAAAGGCTACCCACTTGAGTATTCTGGCCTGGAGAATTCCATGGACTGTATAGTCCATGGGGTTGCAAAGGGTCTGACACGACTGAGAAACTTTCACTTAGGATGTATGAAGTTCCAGGCTCTGGCCTGGGTGAAAAGTCACAGAAGCTCTTTCAGGGCTGTCCTGACAACCAAATGCCACTGGAGGTGAGATGCACTTTGTAAAGTAGCACTCATAGGTCACTTGCCAGGGCTTTTTATTCCTGATATAATTGGGAATCCCAGGCTCATCAGAGACATTTTGTTGGGCCTGAGAAAGCGAAGGACCTACCTTGTAGACAAAGGTGCAAACAAAGTCGATGAAGCCGACCTGAAGCTTAGGCAGTTCATCCGCCTTGTTTCTGTCCATCATGGGCTGTCAGGGGGAGAGAGAGTTAACTGCACTGGGCCTCTCCTGGGCTGATGCAGCAGGGGGCCCATCCTACCTATGAAGTGAAACATTCTTCCAAAACAAAAACCCTTTCACTGGTCTCTCTGAGGCTGGTGGGGAGCCAGTGGACCATTCCAGCCAAGTTTCCTTTCAACACTGATAGATTCACAGCTGGACAGGTCTTCCCCTTGCCTGGTCTGTGCTGTTAGCACAGAGCTATGGGAGGTAGACTCCTAGACTGTCGGAACTGAAAGGGAAATCTAAGTTTTGGCCACTTGTCAATCTCTACTGAGCTGACTGAGCCAAGGATACACCTTAGAACAGGGTCTCCAAACTTTAGAAGGGAGCATGTTGCTGGGCCTACCCCCAGAGTTTCTATCCAGGTAGGTCCAGGGTGTGCACGGGTTGGGGGCGGTGGGTGAGGGGGTGGAGTGTTCTGTGGATTTGCATCTCTAATGTGTACCCAGGTAACAAGGTTGATGGTGGTCTCCAGGGAACACACTTTGAGAACCACTGCGTTAGGGGAAGGTCATCTCTGTGGTAAGGTCACACATCTGTGTGTCAGGGATGAAGGGGCACATCTCTCCATCATGGCCAGATCATTGCTGTCCACCAAAACAAGATCACACGCCCAGTATCAGGCTGAGGTCCCTTCTCTACTCACAATGGGATTCTGTTGCAGCACCGTGCGCTCCAGGTCACCTTGTTCCCAGAATTCAGCAGCAACCAGCAGAGCCACCTGCAGCAGGCAGATACCCTCCATGGAGTCAGGTCCCAGCCCCAGTCCTCCTACCCCTGCTCCCATCCCACTCAGGTTTCCAGCTCAGCAAATACACCCCACTCCTGCCCTACCATCCCACTTTGTCATCACAAGGGATTGCCACGTCTTGCCAGAGGAGGATGGAGCAGTGGGCTGCCTCAGCAGCTAGAGAATCCAAGCTGCGTTAGCTGCTGTCACCAGGACTGGAGGAGTGCGTACCTTGCTCTGCACCTCCCAAGGCTTGGTGATGGCTGAGAGATCACAGGCGGTCATCATCATGGCCCTGCACACAAGGATACCATCCATCAGTCCGGAGGCAGGGAGTGCTGTATATCTGGTTGATTCCATCTATCTCTCCTTTTTCTGCCCCTACTAGTAGGTGGCCTCATCCCATTGTGAGCAGAGGTGTCAGTGCCCGACTGCATCTGAGGGTCAGGTTTTGAAGTCAAACAAATTTAAATCCTGCCTTTGTCAATTATTAGGAGTTTGGAATTAAGCAATTAAACTAAGTTCTCCGCGCCGCAGTTTCCTTGTCTGTAATAATACTGGCACTTTCCTCATGGAGTGGGTGCAAGATTCAATGAGATAATGTGTGTAAAAATCTTAGCATGGTGCCTAGATATATTATGTGCACAATTTGTGTGTGTTAGTCAGTCGTGTCTGTCTGTGACCCCACGGACTGTAGCCCGCCAGGCTCCTCTGTCCATGGAATTTTCCAGGCAAGAATACTGGAGTGGGTTGACATTCCCTTCACCGGGGGATCTTCCCAATCCAGGGATCAAACTGGAGTTTCCTGCATTGCAGGCAGATTCTTTACTGTCTGAGCCACCAGAGAAGCCCACGTGCACAATAAACTGGCAATTATCAGGAACGTATATTGGGTTTCTATACATTATGTGCCCCACACTGTTCTAGGCATTTTATAAATATCAATTTCATTTAAATCTCATCACATCCTCAGAGTTCTTTCTGACTAGAATAGAACAGTATTTCTCAACCTTTTTTCTCTTCATCCTCCCTGATCTATTGTCAAAGAACCTTTTTATACATCTTTCTTATAACCACCTCACCATGAAATTTTAATAACACAGACATACTGTACCTCTGGAGGGCCACAGATCACAGTATTATCTAAGATCTTTTTGCTTCTCTCCTGAGAACTACTTTTTGCCCCATCAGGTAATGCATGATGAAAGGAGGACGACCCTGGTCATTGTGAGGAAGCCATATGTTAAGAAGTAAAGGAACAGACTGAGGAAAGAAAGAAAGGATTAAAAGGTAAACTCTTAAAGGACTTTCACAGTAAAAGGAAGGTAAGACAGGTATTGTTACATAGGTAGGTATGACATAAGACAGAAAGGGAAGGGACATGTGATAAGAACTGGAGCAAGAGGAGGGAATTTAATAAGGTGTTTCACAGATGGGGCACAGTGGCATGAAGTCTGGGATGGGAATCCAGGGTCATGTGCTGTGGGTGCTAATCCCATCCAATAAGCAGGCAGTGCATTGACATTTCAGGGTCAGATCATGACCTCATCAGAGCTGCTTGGTAGCACCTGCAGGATAGAGCAGAGAGAAGAAGGGAGGAAGGAAGGAAGGAGAGATGCTGCAGCAGTTTAGGAAGGACTGCAGGAGGGCCTGAACTTCCTGGCTGGGAGAGCATGGGATCAGCCCCATGTGGTAGAGTCAACCCCACTTGGTGAGAGGACGGGCAGGGACTGTGGGGGATAGTTGGAGAAGCTTGGGGCTCTGGACCTAACTAGCATTTGGATGATTTTACAGTTAACCAGCTATATCTGGCATAGGTTACATAAGCTGGTCTGGGAGGCCTTAAGAGTTATGAAATATTAACAAGTTTAACTATCCTTAAGTAAACCCTCAAAAACTCAAAAAATTCTTTAAGTAAATAAGCTTTCAGGAATGCCTATATCTTCTTAAAAACACATTTAGTGGTAGTGTTAGTCGTGCAATTGTGTCCGGCTCTTTGCGACCCCATGGACTGTAGCCCACCAGATTCCTCTGTTCATGGGATTCTCCAGGCAAGAATACTGGAGTGGGTTGCCATTCCCTTCTTTAGGGGATCTTCCCGACCCAGTGATCGAACCTGGGTCTCCTGCATTACAGGCAGATTCTTTACCATATGAGCTACAAAGAAGTCCCATAGAAAAACATTTATTCCTTGTAATAACATCAAAACACATGACTGATGCTTAATGTTAAGTGTTGTCAACATGCTACATTTACTATCAAACACATTAAGCAAATGAACACTTGGTTGCGCATCCAGGAGTCACTGATTCCTTGTTACCTGTCAGTGTCCACATTGTGAGTGGACTCAGGAGAGTTCTGGATGTTTACTTTCCCTGGCTGAAGGAAGCATGTGACAATTACTCCCAGCAATTAGGGAAACACCTAAGTGTTTTATAGATAGATATTTGGTATGTGCATGGGATGGGCGCTGGGGGTGGGGGACACTTAGACACCAGAAAGGCAATCCCAAGCTTCGTGTCCTAAAGACAAGGCATTACATTCACTTCAGCACCGTGGCCTTAGGTGTTCCTTGACCAAGATGCTATGCTAGGCATTAGGAACCCAGAGAGGACTGCAGGGAGTCATGTAAGGAGCAGAGGGGAAACACATTCTAGGCAGAGAGAACATCTAGTGCAAAGGCCTTGGTGGAAGGAAGCCTGGAAGCAAGGAGGGGCTCAGGGAGTAGATAGAAGAGATATTGAGAGGGGACCCGAGATGAGCAGGGTAGACCCAGAGCCCAGGTGAGGGGACATTTTCATGCTAAGAGCAACAGGAAGAGTCACTGAAGAGTAGAGGAGGGGTCATATTTGCATTTTGCAGAGAACAACACAGTGGCTTTGGTAATGAGGTCCCAGGAGCCCAGTTAGGAAGCCATTGAAGGGTCCAGACAAGAGATGGATGTGGCAATAAAATGAAGTATCCAGACAGACAAGGCATTTAAAAATAAACTCAGCACGACTTGGGGATAGATTCGACATGCAGAGTGAGGAAGACGGTAGTGTCAGGATGAAAGAGGACATCGTGGTTATTACGGAGAAGAGAGCAAAAGTCCTGAAGACTTGTGGAGAAATCTGAACCTTATCCTCAAGGTGGGTGGAAGTCATCAGTCGGAAAGGGTGAAGTTGAATAGTATGAAATTCAGTACAAGGCTTTGGAGTCAGACTGAGAAATTAGATCCTCACTCTTGTCCTTAGTTGTCATGTCCAGGACAAGTGACTTAGGTCTTTGAGGCTCTCTCTGATCATTGGTGAAATGAGATAGTCACATTAGGTTTGGTCGTACAAAATTCTGATTTTGTGGGTCAGAAACAGTCAATTGCAACAACATAGATGACCTAGAGACTGTCATACTGAGGAAAGTAAGTCAGAGAAGGAGAAATATCATGGCATTCCTTATATGTGTAATCTAAACAGAAATGATACAAATAAACTTAAAAAACAGAGACTAGTAGACTTAGCAAACATATGGTTGCCGGGGGAAGGATGGGGAACAGGATAGTTAAGGAGTTTGGGATGGATATGTACATCCTGCTGTATTTAAAATGGATAACCAACAAGGACCTACTATTAATATATACCACATGGAACTCTGCTCAATGTTATGTGGCAGCCTGGATGGGAGTTTGAGGGAGAATGGATACATGTATATGTATGGCTGAGTCCCTTTGCAGTTCACCTGAAACTATTACACCATTTTTCATCAGCTATATATAAAAAGTTTAAAAAAACAAAAAACAGTTGAAAGTCAGCAATTTCATGAGCTTAATGCAATATATCTGTCCTAGGGGTTACTGTGACCAATACATAAGGACCATGGTAGCACTTACAAAATCATCTTATCTTCATCACTATCACCTGCATCATATTAATCACCAGGCTGGGTTCCTGCCCACCAGGCCCAAAGCAAACATTATTTCGGCTCAGCTGGGATGCTCAGCAGTGCTTCTTCTTGACCCTTGGCTTGAAGCTTGACTGTGGAAGCATCCCAGGCACCCTCGTGAGGCATTCAGATTCTTCCTGGAATTACCCTTGGTCTGAAGTGGGTAGCCTGCAGGGGAAGTTTGAAGGGAGCCAAGAAAAGCTGTGGGTGTATGGGAGGGGGATAGGGTGACCTGGTTGATGTTCCACGAATGCCCGTGCAACACTAGGCAAGTCACTTTGTCTCTCTTAGCCTCATTTTTTTCATCTGTAAAACATTAGACCAGGAGGCACCAAATTTTTCTGTAAAGGGCCAGATAGCAAATATTTTAGGTTTTGCAGAGCATGTGGACTCGATTGCATTACTCAGCTTCATCATCGCAATGGGAAAGCAGCCACAGATAAGATCAGTTGGTGCACCAGAAAGGTGCTGCTGAGGCCTGGGCTCCGTGGACTGGGGCTTGAGGCGAGTTGGAGATTGTTAACTTACCCAGAACACCTTTGCTGAGTGCTCACTGCATGCCAGGCCCCAGACAGATTGCTGAGGACTTAGGACTGAGGTACACATTCCATTGACAGAATGTGGTCTGTCTCAAAAGGCAAGAGTGGCCATGGGAGGAAAACACTCCACAGACAGAGTGTGGGCAGATTCTAAATTCTTAACATTCATTTCTAGATGGTTGGATGAATGGGGAAGGGGAGGATGAGCTGCTGAGTAAAAAAAAATAAAGAAAATGACAGGGTCACTTATCTCTAAGGCAGTGCCTAAGTAGGGTTCAGGATACTTTTAGGAACTTGTGAAAATATTTAAATTTTAGTTTCTTTAAAAAAAAATAGTGAATATATGAATAATGAGTTAAGCCTGGATTATATTTGCATTTATATTAACAGTCATGAAATATGATTTTTATTTATTTAAATGGAGGAAGAAGCCATTAAAGCAAAAGTACCTATGACCCACCCACAAATGTCATAATGTGGCCCTTTATTAAAATCAATCTATGGGTACTAAAATTGGAATTCATATAATTTCTATTTATCAGGAAATATTATTTGCCATTATCTTCATTACCTCCACCATAGTTTCAGTTCAGTCAGTTCAGTTCAGTCACTCAGTTGTGTCTGACTCTTTGTGACCCCATGAATCACAGCATGCCAGGCCTCCCTGTCCATCACCAACTCCCGGAGTTTATTCAAACTCATGTCCATCGAGTCGGTGATGCCATCCAGCCATCTCATCCTCTGTTGTCCCCTTCTCCTCCTGCCCCCAATCCCTCCCAGCATCAGGGTCTTTTCCAATGAGTCAACTCTTCTCATGAGGTGGCCAAAGTATTGG